CTTTATATTCTGGAGCCTTTAACTCAGGTCCTTGTGCTTGAATAGCAATCCCTTTACAGCTGAGGTATTTCTTCTGTCCCCACTGTGTGACATAATTCCTGAGAAGACATTAATGTCTACTATCTTAGTCATTGCTCTATTGCTGTGAAGAGACACTATATAACCATGGCAACTCTTACAAAAGGAAGCATTTAATTGGGGCTGGCGTACAGTACAGAGGTTCAGAGGTTTAGTCCATTGTCATCATGGCAGGGAGCATGGTGGATCACAGGCAGACATGATGAAGAAGCAGCTGAGAGTTCTACATCTGCATCCACAGGCAGCAGGAAGAGAGAGTGACACTGGGCATGGCTTGGACTTTTGAAACCTCAAAGCCCACCCATAGTGACACACTTCCTCCAACAAGGCCACACTTCCTAATCCTTCTCAAGTAGTGCTGAAAGGCCGCCAGGAGCGGAGCCGCGGGCAGCGCAGGCTGGGCCGCATCCCCGTCCCCGCGCCAGCCGCCCGCGCCTGCCATGCGCGCCCCGCAGAGGCCCGCGCGCCCGGGCCCCGCGTCGTAGCGCGGCGGGCGGAGACCGCAGGCTCCCAGCCCGGGCCCGCCGTGTCCTCGAGCCCGATTGGCGCCGCTGCCCGGCGCCAGCGCCCGGTGCCGCCGCCGGCGAGGGTGGTGCGGGCCGCGACCCGGGCGCCCGGGGCCCTGCGGGATGGAGCAGGCCGAGAGCCGGGGACCCTGCATGGTGGAGCAGGCCAAGGGCCGGGGACCCTCCGGGCGGTGCAGACTGGGGCCCGGGTGCCCCCGGGGTGGCGCAGCTTGGGGACTTGGGGACCCTGTGGGGGTGGCGCGGCCTGAGGACTGGGGAGCCCTGCAGGGAGGTGCAGGCCGGGACCCCGGGACTCTTCTGGGGTGGTGCTGAGGGGCCCCAGCATGCTTGCTTGGCCTGACGCCATTTTGAGCAGGGCCTGAGGAGTACGGGGAGGGTTCAGTTGGAGGACATGGGCGCAGGAATGAGCGGGGTGTCTGCGGTCGGCCACCTGGCCCCAGAACAGGGAACTGGAGGGTCGGAGGGACAGTTTGTACCCTGGATGGGAGCCAGGTCAGCAGGCGTGTCGAGCTCGGGGAAAAACCACGAGCTGTCCTGAGTTTGAACCTGGCCTCATATGAATCGTCCAATCAGAACCCTGTAAGCCATGGCCTCATATGAGTCGTCCAATCAGAACCCTGTAAGCCATGGCCTCATATGAGTCGTCCAATCAGAACCCTGTAAACCATAGCCTCATATGAGTCGTCCAATCAGAACCCTGTAAACCATGGCCTCATATGAGTCGTCCAATCAGAACCCTGTAAACCATGGCCTCATATGAGTCGTCCAATCAGAACCCTGTAAAACATGGCCTCATATGAGTCGTCCAATCAGAACCCTGTAAAACATGCTTCTTGCTTCTGTACCCGCCCTTCCGCTGCCCGACCCTATAAAAACCCTCCACTCCAGCCCGTCGGCGCGCCAGTCTCTTCAGCCTCTGGAGGGACTGTGTCGCCCCGGGTACCTGTGTTCCTGAATAAAGCCTCTTGCTGTTTGCATCTGACTTGTGGTGTGATCTCTGGGCGAGGGTCTCTCCAGAGGGAAGACTACCTTCGGGGGTCTTTCAGTGCTACTACCTGATGATTGTGCATTCAAATGAATGAGCTTAAAGGGGCCATTCTCTCATACCACATCGGACTAACACCAGATTTTAAAAAATAAGTGACAGCCAGGAGGTGGTGGTGGTGCATGCCTTTAATCCCAGAACTCAGGGAGGCAGATCTCTGAGTTCAAGGCCAGCCTGGTCTACAGAGGGAATTCCAGGACAGCCAGGACTACACAGAGAAACCCTGTATCTCAAAAAATCAACCAACCAACCAGCTAACCCAAACACCAGTGACAGACCAAATTAAGAATACCCCGCCGGGCGGTGGTGGCGCACGCCTTTAATCCCAGCACTCGGGAGGCAGAGCCAGGCGGATCTCTGTGAGTTCGAGGCCAGCCTGGTCTCCAAAGCGAGTTCCAGGAAAGGCGCAAAGCTACACAGAGAAACCCTGTCTCGAAAAAGAAAAAAAAAAAAAAAAAAAAACCAAATTAAGAATACCCAAAGTCCAACTTGGTGAAGCATTGAAGTTTATTGGGGTTACTTACAGGAGGATGGGTTAAGGTATTACAGGAGCAGAAATGACTCAAAGTCAACAAAAGCCCACACCACTCTAGCGTGATAGTTCACAAAAGCTGGAAACCGGAGTTCACTGCATGACTCATAGGCAGCTCAACAAGTTGGAGAATGTCTCTTCCAGACAGTTCAACTGGTCTCTGCCTCTTGCAGGCAGTTTGGCTTGTTCACTGACTGCTCCTAAGCAGTCCTTACTACTTACATAAGCTTGGGGGTGGTGGTAGTAGTGAATCTGGTTAGATTTAGGGACTTCTTGAAGCTACCTAGTTGTTTACTTCCTGAGTTTTAATGAGCTGTCCTGAAGGATGGAGTGAATTTTTTTTTAAGGTTTATTTTTATGTGCATTGATGTTTTCCCTTTGTGTATATCTGTGAGAGTGTGCCAAATCCTCCAGAACATTAGTTATAGACAGTTGTGAGCTGCCATGTGGGGACTGGAAATTGAACCTGGGTCCTCCGGAAGAGCAGCTAGTACTCTTAACCATTAAGCTGTCTCTCCAGTCCTGGAATGTTTTATTTTAAAAGAACTTGCTATAACAGTCCCCAAACCTATTTTTTAAACCTTGGAAACAGGGACTCACTAAATAGTCTGGGCTGGCTTTGAACTCACTTTTGTAGCCCAGGCAGGTCTTGAACTTTCTTTGTTGTTGGGTTTTTTGTTTTTGTTTTTGTTTTTTTTGAGACAGATCTCACCATGAGACCTTGAACTTTCACTCTTCCTGCTTCAGTTCCCTGAGTAGCTAATTAGCTAATTTTCTTTTTGTTTTGTTTTTGTTAGTCTTTGTTTTTCAAGACAGGGTTTCTCTGTGTAGCTTTGGAGTCTATCCAGGAACTTGTTCCGTAGACCAGGCTGGCCTTGAACTCAGAGAGCTCCTGCTTCTACCTCCCAAATGCTGGGATTAAAGACATGTGCCACCATGCCTGGCCTGTCAATTTGTTTTTAAATTATGTGTATGTCTACATGTGGTATGTATGTGCACAGTGTCTCTGGAGGCCAGAAGGGTACTAGATCATCTGGAGCTAGAGTTACGGGCAGTTTGTTGAGCCCCCTGATGTGGACCAGTGCTTGAAACTCAACTCCAGGATGCACTTTTTTTGTTTGTTAAAGGTGTGTATCACCATACCTTCCTACAGTATACACTTTTAACTCTAGAAACATCTCTCCTGCTCCTAATATTAACTTGTGTGTGTGTGTGTGTGCGTGCGCGCGTGCTGGGGATAGAAACCAAGGTCTCATGCATGCTAGGCTACATGCTATCCTGTTATACTACCAAAATTTTCAAGATACAAATGAAAATACACATGGGCAGTCAAGCACAGTTGCACATGCCTGCAATTCTAGCACTTGGGAAATGAGAACAGGAGGATCAAAGCCATCTTCAGCTACACAGAAAACTTGAGGCCACCCTGAGATATGTCTCAAAAACATTCATCAAAATAAAGTTTATCATAGAAGTAAAAAATGTTTCCAACTTGGGGCTGGCAGAATGGCTCCCTCAGAGACGGGTAGTGAGAAGGGATTTTCTGCCATCAATAGAGTGCTGACCTGAGAATGTATCATTGGCATTTCACAAAGAAATCTGGATATCTGAATGAAGATGGGAATTAGATGTATGTTTTGATGCCAGGATCAACGAAGACATCTGGGTCAAAGGAATAAGAAATGTTTCACGGTATTATCAGGGTATATTTATCCAGAAAACAAAATAAGGACCAAGAGTCTCTAAATAAGCTCTATACTTTGGCAACCTGTGTCCTTATTAACAGTTTAAAAAAAATTTTTTTTTAAACTACAGACAGTCAATGTGGATCTGTGAGTCTGAGGCCAGCCTGCTCTACAGAATAGCTTCCAGGATAGCCAGAGCTACACAGAGAAACCTTGTATTAAAACCCCCTCTATTTTTTGTTTGGTTTCTCGAGACAGGGTTTCTCTGTGTAGTTTTGGTGCCTGTCCTGGATCTTGCTCTGTAGACCAGGTTGGCCTCGAACTTAAGAGATCTGCCTGGCTCTGCCTCCCGAGTCCTGGGATTAAAGGTGTGCGTCACCACTGCCTGGCTTAAAACCCCCTCTAAAACGTAAGAAGTATCTCCTAGTGCTATTAATAGCTTTATTTATTTTTTACATTAAAATCCTTAATGATGGAACTGGGAAACTGGCTCAGCAAGTGCTCTTCCAGAGGACCAGGTTCACTTCTCAGCACCCACATGGTAGCTCACAACCATCTATAAATCCTGGTATAGGGATCCAACATTCTCTTCTGGCCTCTATGGGTACTGCACAGGCATTAATATATGTGGGCAAAATCCATACATGCAATAAAAACAAATCTTGAGTTCAAATTCCTAGCACTCATGTAAAAAATCAAGCATGGGGCTAGAGAGATGGCTCAGTGGTTAAGAGCACTGGCTGCTCTTCCAGAGGTCTTGAGTTCAATTCCCAACAATCACCAACCATCCATAATGAGATCTGGTGCCTTCTTCTGGTCTACAGGCAAACATACAGGCAGAACACTGTATACATAATAAATACATCTTTTAAAAAAATAGAATAATAATAAAAAAATCAAAAAACCAAGCTTGGATACATGTAACCTTATTGTTTACCATGGGGAAGGGGATATGGGAGTAGGGTGGGGATTGGAACAGGAAGATCACTGGGGCTTGCTGGCTGACAGCCTAGCTCTAGGATAGGTGAGAGACCCTGTCTCAAAGGTGTAAGGCAGAGTAATACAGCAAGACACCTGACATCCTTCTCTGGCTTCTGCATGCATGCACATGGGCGCATACACACACACAAAAGAAATTTTTAAAAATCTTTAATGACATATTTGCTATTTTCCAACAAATGGCTGGCGAGTTGGCACCAGAGATTCAATAACAGTTAGTAAATGTAAATCATAAATTACAAATTTATAAAAGTGACATAACCTTACATAATTCCTGAAAAACTAACATTGTCAGAGTAAACTATGGCACAAAAAAAATTTGCCAATAATCATGAACTGGGCACTTCCAAAGCAGACATGGGTCAGCCCATTTCAGGGTAGAGTCAGAGCAAAGCAAGCATGGGACTGGCCCACCACAGCTGGTTATTCTATGGGACAAGCCCTGGCTATAGATTTACAAGTTTGTCTGTTTCCTTTTCTTTTTTGGAGACAGGATTTTACTACGTAGCCCTGGCTGGCCTTGAACTCAGAGATCTGCTTGCCTCTTCCTCCTGAGTGCTGGGATTAAGGACCTGGGCCACTATACCAGTTTGGTTTGCTATTTCTGATTGAATTGAGTGGTATTTGATATGGGCAATTGCAAAAAGCATAAAGAGTTTAGTAGAGGTCTTTGGACTACTCAGGATTCTTCAGACCTATTCAGTTGTTTTAGTTAAGTGTGTGTGCTGTGCTTTGCCGTTGTATGTGATGTTAAAATTAGCCAATACAAGGAGCTGACACAGAATACCAACTACTGTGATAAATTAACTTGTATACAAAGAACAAAAAGGCAGACAGAGAGACCCTTTGTTTGGATTTTTAGGGGATGGTGTTTTGAGTCACATAGCCCAGGCCTTAGTGTCCTGACTGCTGAGATTATAATCCTTAATATGGGCCTCACTTATATCAGGCTCACTGCAAATTCCCTATGTAGCCAAAGGTGACCTTGGACTTCTGATTTTCCTGCCTGTAACTGGTTAGTGCTGGAATTATAGGCATATACCACCAGGTCTGGTCTAGGGGGTGCTGGAGATCAGACCCAGGACTTGGTGAATGCTAGCTCTACCAACTGACTATACAGCTCCAGCTTTTTATTCCCTGACAACTTTTTTGTTTTGTTTTTGAGACAGGGTCTGTTTGGTACTTGCTATGTTTACCAAGCTGGCCCCAAACTCACAGAGATCCTTCTGCCTCTTGCTTCCTGAGTAATGGGATTAAAGTGTGTGCCACCACACCCAGACCCAGACAACTCTTGAAATCAATACTTTTACTACATCCCAATAAAGCTAAAACTCAAAAACTTCAGGACACACTATAGTCTACTGAATCATGTAAGTGAAATAATTTGAGTCTCAGACGACTGTTCCCTGTTACACAAAGCAATCACAAGTAAGAGGAAGCAAGAATGGGTCCTGGGGTGTTGGGAGTCAGACACTAGGAGGTACTCATGGTTGTTCAATTGTATACATGACTGGACACTACAGAAATACACACAGTAGTGTACACATGTGTTAGTACCCAGGTTTTCCAGCTCTGGCCAGAGAGGGCAAGAAACAAGCTCACCCAGTGTTCAGATCTGGTTGCAAGATGCTGGTCTCCATTAAAGGAGCCCACGCTCCTTGGAGAAATGGTGGCTCCAGGTGTGGGCAGGGAAAACGAAGGTGGGTCTGCAACATCTTAACAGTGTCAAGAAGGAAATTATTAAAGATGCTGTTGGAGCACAGTGGCATAGATAGCCATCTCAAAGAGACCCAGAGATAAAGCTATTTGAACAATAAAATCCACTTTGATACAAAGGGCCAAGTGAATAAATGATGGAAGTTGTGTGTGACTGTTTATATTTGTAATATCAGAAGGCTAAGGAGGAGGGAGGATCATCATTTATTCAAGTTTAGCCTATCCAGGACAACCTGGGCTATAGTTTCTAAGACCTTGTTTCAAGAAGAGAAAGAGAAAAAGGAACAGGTAGTCCCAGATATAGTGGCATAGAGGCTGACGCAGGTGGATTATGAATTCAAAGATAGTCTGGGCTATAAAGACTCCGTCTCCAAAAAGATACAGGAGTCAAGTTATTTTAATCTACTTATCCAAGCCGGAAAAAGTACAGGATAACTGTATGTGCATTCCTGTACAACCTAATACCTTCAAATGGGAGGAAGATCTGGAGTTCAAGGCCAGAGCAATCTACATATGACCCTGTCTGGAAAACACAAAAACAGGGAGAATAAACATATGGCAAATAGTCTACAATAGAGTGTCTAAGTAGAGTTACACAAGAACTCTTTACACTTTTCTATAAGCATGGACATCAAATTACACAGTAACTTTAGAATATTCACAATTAACCAGAGCACCTGCCACACAAGCCTGATGACCTGAGTTTGATTCCTGGGACCCACATGTAGAAGTGACTCCACAAAGTCCTCTGACCTCCACATACGTACAGTAGCACACGCATGCCCACACCCAAGTAAAACATCATGCACTCACCCAAACACAATAATCAGTATTAAAATTTTAAAAAGAAAAATAGGGGCTATGGATGAAGCTTAGTGGCAGTGTTTGTCCTGTAGGCATGAAGCTCTGGTTTGATCCCAAGTATTACATAACACCTGCAATCCCCTCATGGGGGAGGCAGGAGGATCTGAAGTTCAAAGCTAGGGCTGGGGATGTAACTCCTTAGTAGAGTGCTTGCCTTCTATGCATAAGGCCCAAGTTTTAGTCCCTATTACTACTACACACAAAAAAAAGTCAAGGTCATCCTCAGCTATATATGGATTTCAAAGCCAGCCAGGGATACATGAGATTCTCTCCTGTAGAGGGGGGGACAAAAACCCTAAACACTAGGTAGATAGCTAAGCCTGTGAGACATGTGCCTGCCATGCGAAGACCTGAGTCAAGGACCCTCAGCACCCATGCACAAGACAGGCATACAAGAGGGCTCAGTAGGTAACTGCACTTGCCATCAAACATAGAGCACTGAATTCAAACCTGGGACCCACATGGTGGAAAGAGAGAAGCAACTCCAAGTTTTCACTGGGGTCCACATGTATACTGTGGCACATGTGTAGTCCCCCTCCAAATAAGTGTAATTTTAAATTAAAAGCCAGGCATGGTGAAACACAACTTTTAATTCTAGCACTCAGGAGACAGAGATGGGAGGATCTCTGAGTTCTAAGCAGCTACAGCTATGGAGTAAGATTCTGTTTCAAAATAAAAAAAGATAGGGGCTATAGAAATGGCTCTTGAAAAAGATCCAGGTTCATTCAGTTCCTAGCACCCACATGTCAGCTACAACCATCTGTAATTCCAGTTCCAGGGGTTCCTTTTCTGGCCTCCACAGGCACCTGCATATACCACCCCATCTACATGTAATTAAAAATAAAATCTTTAAAAAAAAAAAAAAAAAAGATGGGCATGGTCATTTTTATTTTTGGAGACAGGGTCTTTCTATGTAGCTTGGCTAATCAGAAACTCACTATGTAGACTAGGCTGGCCTCAAAATCATAGAGCTCCAACCCCCTCTGCCTCCTGAGTGCTAGATTTGGTCCTTAGCACTCCCGCAGCTGTTCAAAACCACCTAACTACAATTCTAGGAAACCTGACACCCTCTTCTGGCCTCCAAGAGCTCCTGTACATATAAGGTACATATAAACTTACTGGGGTTCAGACACACACATAAAAAAAGTAGAGTGGGCCAGGCGGTGGTGGCACACGCCTTTAATTCCAGCACTTGGGAGGCAGAGCCAGGCAGATCTCTGTCGAGTTCGAGGCCAGCCGAGGCCAGCCTGGTCTACAGAACGAGATCCAGGATAGGCACCAAAACTACACGGAGAAACCCTGTCTCAAAAAACAAAACAAAAAAGAGTGAGGGAAAGCCTGATGTCACCCTGTGGCTCCCACATGCATGCATACAAGTGCATGGGCATTGACATACACATGTGCACAGTTTTGTATGAACACATACATGCAACCAGACACACATTAATGATAGAACTGTTCTAATCAACGTTTCATAACTATGACAAACATATCTGAGATTATCAACTTTACAGGACAAGCATAAGGTAGTTCATGCCTAAAGTTCTAACACTCAAGAAGGCTGAGGCAGGGGATTGTTGTCAGGGTCAAGGCCAGCCTGAATAAAGGAATCATTCCTCTAAGAAAGAACAGAGGATTTTTTGCTGTTCTGGAGGTTTCTTTGGTACTGTCAACAGCACAGTTCATTACTGAGGAAGCCCATGGTAGAAAAATTGTTTACTTCTTCACAGTTGCTAGGAAGCAAAGAGGAATCAGCAAAATGGTTTAATGGGTAGAGACACTTATCACAAGCCTCAAGTTTGATTGCTAAAACCCACAGGATGGAAGACCTCCAGCCACACATATGCCATTGAACATGTGTAAATGTATGTCCACACACACAGTGAATAAATGTAAAAGAAAATTAGTACAAAGAGGTAGGGCTAGGTGTTAGCATCTTCAGAGGCATGGTTCCAATGACCTAAATACTCTCCATAAGAAAAGTTCTACCCACTCTTATAGTACTGTGGGCCAAGCTTTCAAAATACAGGTCTTAGGCAGACACTCCAGATCTAAACTTTAGCAATGACAATAAGCAATATAAAGAGATGAGGTGTGATGACCTGTGATTTTTGTACAACTTGAATATAGACATTCATCATATTCAATTAAAAAACAAAAACAAATTCATCCAATTCAATACTTCTAAATGAAGAACTGAGCTACTGAGGCCTAGGCTAGCTTGGACTCTACATAGCAGGTCAGGGCTACATAACATGTCCTAGTCTCAAGAAACCAAAAACTAAGATGTTGCAACTATTTAGAAGAGTTTATAGTTTCTTGCTGGGTGGCGGTGGCACACACCTTCAATCCCAGCACTCGGGAGGCAGAGCCAGGCGGATCTCTGTGAATTCAAGGCCAGCCTGATCTACAGAGCGAGATCCAGGACAGGCACCAAAACAGAAACCTGTCTCGAAAAAAACAATTAAAAAAAAATGTTTACAGTTTCTCAAAAGTTGATTATGGTGATACATGCCAGGATTTCCAGCACTGGGAGGCTGTGGCAGAGGACTGCCCACTCCCAGAGCAGCCTAATGACAACAGTAAAACCGTCTTAAGCAAAGGAAAAAACTTAGGCTACATATTAAAAGCACAGCACAAAGCTGAAACACTTGTATGTGTTGGGTGAGTACACAAACTTCATTTTGTTTTGGTTTTTTTGAGACATGGTTTCTTGTGTAGCCTTGGCTGTCCTGGAACTTGCTCTGTAAACCAGACTGGCCTCGTACTCTTAGAGATCAGTCTGCCTCTGCCTCCCGAGTGAGTACTTGGATTACAGGAATGCACCACCAGCTTTTAAAAAATAATTTTAAAAGATTCTATAACTGATTCTGGGGAGGGGGGACATTCATGTAGAATATCCAACAGAGTCCAAGGCATAGGCCAGGTCCCTGGAAAATACTGTGACCACAGGTCAGGTAACAGAGATATTCCAGGCCTTACTCCACCTTTCCCTCTTTGTTACACTATATATTACAGTTTTTCATTTTCCTTTTGTCTATTAAACTATTAGTTTGCTAAAGGGAGGAGTAAAACAATATTTACCTGAGGGCCCTGCTTCAAGATACAGACTGAAAAATGTACCAGATTAGAGGTTTCTGAATATACCATGAACCACTGAGTTTAATACTGCTATGTAAGATTTAACACTTGATGCCTGAAGGGAGGATTACTCCTCAGCTCAGGTGGTTTGTGAGACCTTTGATCACACAAACCAAACCTGAGACCCACCTCCAATCACCTCAAGTTGAAAGCAGAGATGGCAAAGTGAGGAATATGGGATGAGCTCAGATCCCAAAATCTTCAGCAATCACATAAAAAACAAGGTGTGGTGGCACGCCCTTACAATCCAATACTTTGGATGCAAACAGGATGCTAGCCAACCTAGCCTAACTGGGAGTCCAGGTCCAACCAACACACATTAAGAATCGTGACGTGTGCTCCATCCTACACAGTCAGAGGTCCTTTCTGAACACTGAAGCAAAGGCTTCAGCAGCCCTTAAGAGTATTGCCTCAGCCGGGCAGTGGTGATACATGCCTTTATCCCAGCATTTGGGAGACAGAGGCAAGAGCATTTCTGTGAGTTGAGGCCAGCCTGGTCTACAGAGTGAAGGAGTTCCAGGACAGCCAAGGGTACACAGACAAACCCTGTGCAAAAACAAAAACAAACAAACACAAAAGCTTCTGGGGCTTGTCACCCCACTATATTCACCCACGCTCAGTCCTCCAGGTATCCCCAGCAGCGAGACAAGGACAAGTTTTGAGCTCCCATTTCTCAGCTCTTCCTCAAAATCCTGCTTCCAATCCTGTTAAGCAGCCCAAGGTATTCCATGTTTAACCCCAACCCTCTTGAAAACTGGTTTCTGCCTCAACTTCCATTGGTTATTTTACAGCTGTCTCTAGAGCCAACCAAAGACAAAAATATCCCAATTGAAGATCACACATGTGCTAGACAATGAATCTTGTCTGCTCTCCCTAAACAATACAACGTACCTTGAAAAAGCCTACAAGAATACGTGCATAGACTCTAAGCAAACGCTATGCCACTTTACATGAGATTTGGGCATCCTTACTCAGATTTTGGTCCTGCAACTAGCATCACCCAAGGACACCAAGGATTGACTGCTAACAAATAAGGAAGCACCCTCCTTGTCTTTGTTCCCTGTCAATGTAACAAGACAGAGAAACAACACATAGGGGTTCAAAGCCGAAACCAGATTTCTCTGACACATAAGTCAAAAGAACAGCCCAAGAATTTATGGGTCACATCTCTAGACACCATACAGCACATACAGCAGACTGCCTCATGGTGCAGGCAAATGGACAGGCAGCTCCGGGCAGAAGGCCACTACTGCTCTGAATCTTCCCACCTATCAGGCTAGAGTGAGGCATTAGAACACAGGGAAGGAGACAGAAGGCCTCAGCCACGGACTCCCAGACATCTCACAATTCTAACCTCACATCAGGTACTAGCTATAGCCACAGACAGCTAGCTGTGACAGAGAATCTTAACAGCAGGATGGACCAGACAGCTCCAGTTCTACACACAATTCTATTTTATTATGGCAAAGGTGAAAATGTCACCTTCTCCACAACAGCAACCAGTAAAATTTATCCCAAAAATAACTCGGTACAAAACAGGTCTGTTTCAGAATTAAAAAAAAAAGAAAAGAAAAAAAAAAAAGCCTTTACATGAGTTTTTAGATCCTATTTTAAAACAGGAGGAAAAAAAAAAAGAAACAAAAAACAAATCCACCATTGTCTGCACAGTCCAGTTGCCAACCCTCCCTCTAGGGATCACGACGAGGCTTCTGAGTCCTGTTACTTGTGTGGATTTGCTCGGCTGTTTAACTGGTGTCCATCTGAAAGAGAGGGAGAAGGCTCATTAAGGAAGCCCTTGTTCCTACTGGCTTCAAGAGGTCACCACAGGCATCACTCAGCCCCACCCAGTCTTTTCTGAGCCCCAGGACTCACCCTTGCATTATAAGCATCCAGCTGTGCATCCAGCTCCTCTGCAGAAAGTTGCTGCTTTGAGTTCCTGCCGGTACCTCTACCTCTTCCCCGGCTGCCTCCGCGGGTCCCTCTCCGGGTACCACCACCACCGAAACTCCCAGAGCCACGGTTTCTTGTCATGCCACCTCTGTTTATGCTAACAAAGAAAAACAGAACTCTGAGATCTGGAAAGGCCTTGTGTGTGGCGTTATCACAAACCGCAGGCCTTTCCCCATCCCCAACGGCCCCAGAACTTACCTCTGTGGAGGTCTTCTTTGCGTATCAATTTGTGATGTGACGAGCTGGATGTTCATGGGACGGCCTATGGTAAAGAATACAAGAAGTCTCATTCCAGAGGCTCTGAAGTTGACCCAGAGGGCACCACACCCTGGTCTCCATGCAAGCTCTGGAAAGGGCCTGTGTGTGTCTCCAATGCCCCCAAGGTATATGGCCTGGAGAGCCTGGTGGGAAAATAAATTGGCAATAATAAACCCCACCAACACCTCCTCACTCCTTCTCAGTTCAGGCTAAGAGGGCTGTTTGGACAGGTGTGGGTGACCTGACGGAAGAAGAACAGGTACCTTTGTCTTTACGACTACAGCCCCGCACTCAGGTTGTACTATGGCGGTTCTGAGAAGGCTTCACAGAAGTGAATCTTCCGGAAGGAGCTGAAGGAGGGGAGGAATGTAGCTTGCTGGATGGGGGTTCACAAGAGGTTGGTCCAGATGTGTGGGGCAGCATGAGAGGTGGCAGAATGGAAGAGAGAGACAAAGGGGCAAATGCAAAGTGTCCTCAGCCACAGGGGCAGCCCATATTCCTACAGGGAGGGGTGCCAGCCCCAAACTCCATAAGCCCCACAGGCATCCTGGGCCCAGTCCCATACTCACCATCCAAAGGGACACCATTGTACTGTTTCATAGCCTTCAGGGCATCTGCCTTCCGTTCAAAGTGCACATCTGCTGTCCCTAAACTTCGTCCAGAGCGATCGTAGTGCACAGCTGCTTTCTTCAACGTTCCAAATTCCGCAAAGAGTTCCTGGGAAGTGGAAAGGGCGACAATCAGCAAAGCAGTCAAGTTTTTTCCTTCTAGTGGCTCAGTAAGTAAGTTGCTGTGAGTATGCGTGCTTTGGAGGTACTCTACTGACAGCCACCCAGGAAGGGGGCAGGGCAGTGGCAGTTAAGAGGTGAGGGACAGGGCTGCCAGAGAGAGAACTGTCACCAGCACCTGGGTTCCTGTCCACTCTGGGACTGTGTAACTGCACCATGATGCCGGTGAAGGAAGCACAAGCCCTGACACAGAGCAAAAGATGAAGAACTATCTCTCTTAGCAAGTGTACTCACAACGTGATCAACAGCTGTTTCACCTACAGCAGAAGCCAAGAGTAAAATGAAGGGAAGTTGTTCATAGAGCAGACAGCTCAAAGAAGGGCCCACTGATTTGGGGAGCTGTGACCCCTGCCCCTCCCCCAAAGGCAGATTCTGGCTCACCTTTCCCTCTCCTCCTACTCAAGCCTGCTGCAAAGTCTGAAGTCAAACACGCCATGGAAACTGCCCTGACCTCAGGCAGGCTGGGAGTTGGAGAGGGAACCCAGAGTGTGGGGCTACTTCGGCTGCAGGCACACAGCGGGAAGTGGAGTTCACCAAAAGCGGTTTCCAGTGGATGCCAGAAACCACCTTAAAAAAAGTGTTGAGACACTGTGAGTGCTCACTGGCCTTGTTCTATCCTCCCATGGCAAGGCCAAATGGCTGGGCCCTGAGAAATGGAACCCAGAAAGGCCACCGACCAAGCCATCTCCAAAACTAATTCCCAAAAAAAGTTGCTTCATAGCTCTAAATGCCCTGAAGGTCCAGTCAAAAAAAAAAAAAGGAAAAAGAAAAATAGAAAGAGACTTCAAAGGTATGAGGACCATGTCCCTGACACGACCTGGGAAAGGTCACTAGTTAAGACACACAGCCATCATTCACCCCTGAGCTGTCAGATATCTGGGTGAGAGACCTTCCTTCTCCAATCAGCTCACTACAAGAGGCACAAGATCTGAGAAGCAAGCACCCTTGGTCATACAGGGACCGAACTTGTGACCAGTCTGTGCCCGTTAGAAACTGGCAGAGGGCAGGTGCTCATGGCGGTCAGCAGACCAGCGTCACCTTCGGGGGCGTACCAGGCTACCTTCCAGCAGTCTGACTTATTGGTCGCATTCACAACTAGGAGATACTTTTTCTTTTTCTGAGGTCAAGCCACTCGGCGACACTGGCTGGCCCTTGGGCAGCACGGGGGAGCACAGGTTCCAACCAGAAGGGGTTCTGGGCCGCCCATCCGTGTGGGGTGAGGAGCCCCGAGTCTCCTACCTGAATATCAGCGTCTGACACTCCGAAGTCAAGGTTTGACACCAGCAGCTTCCCACCCGTCTCCACGCCGGCTCCACCCCCGAAGCCGCTGTCGAAGAGGTCGTGCTGCCATTTGTCTGGAAGTTGTTTCGGCTGAAGGAAGACGGTAAGGACGGAGAGGTTCGTGAGCCTCGCCCCGGGCGCCCTCAATACCTCACCGACACTCTCTCACGTCGGCCCGCAGCCCAAAGAGCACCCCAAGCCCGCCGCTCGGGGCGGCCGCCGCCACGAGGCTGGACCACGACCGGACAAAGCGTCCCGGAAGACCCCGGCCTCCGGCCGGGCCTCACCGCGCGGCCTCGCCCCCGCCCACCCCTCCGCCAGGGTTCCCGCGGGCCTCGCAGGACGCTCCCCCGGCTCCGTACGGCCGGGAGCCCGCCCCTGCCGGCGTCGCACGTCCCCGCACTCACCCTGCTGTAGGGTGCCGGCCGGTTCCTGCCGCCGCCGCCTGCGGCGCCGCGAGAGATGGCGGGCCGGTTCCTCATAGGCCCGCCGCCTCGATTCACCCGCGCGGCGGCCTGCACCGCACCGCCGCGGCCGCCCTGGGAACCGGCCCTGCCGCGACCCCGGCCTCCGCCGCGGCCGCCTCGCTGGCTCCGGTTCAGCTTAATGATGTCGTCCAAAGACATATCCATTTTGTCGGCCATGGCGGGCGCGGAATCGGGCCTCGGATCGAGCCCGCGCGTCAGCACGCTGCGGCGTCACTTCCTGCGCCTCCCCCGGCGTTCCGGCGCCGCTGCCCTGAAGCCGCCACTGATTGGTCCCTCTGCGCGCGGAGCGGGCGGGCGCGTGCGTACTGCTCCCGGAGGCGGCGGGCGCTGTTTCTGAGCAGCCAGACGCGGCACGGTCGTTTTTATACCTTCCCGCGCGGCAGCAACGGAAGGGCGGGGCGCCTCGTGATTAGGTGGAGAAGGTGCGAGGGCGAGGAGTGGGCGGGGCCGGGGCTCCCCTCCCTCGGAGGCCGGAAGACTCGGGGTTTCCTCGGCGTCGCGTTCGGTCCGCGGGTTGTGTCCCTTAGGTGCGGCCCTGGCGGTATGGGCTGGGCTGAGGGTCTGCTTTTGGTTTTGTTTGCTCGAAGGCATAGTTTCTTAACGAGCTGTAATTTAGCAAGTTAGTGACTGTCACTCTCCCCTTCTCAGATTGAAAAGCAAAGCACTGATGGTTAATGAAAACTAAAATGTTTGTCATGGGTGCAGAAGTTGTTGTTGTTGTTGTTCTTGGGGGCGCGGGGCTGACCTTGACTCAATCAGATCCCTCTGCTTCTGCGGTCCGAGGGACGGGATTAAAGGCGTGCGTCACCTCGCCCCACTACGTGTGTTCAGATCTCTAAAGACACCCTTATACATGACAAAACAAAACTTGGAAGCCGGTCTCCTTTGAAGCGCCTGGCACTTGTCGCAGCTCCCCGACTGAAATGCTCGAGTGCTGTGGTACTACAGACTAATTTAGCCAGGTAATCCTCTCCCCTCAGGTCACCATCTCCGCTGCCATGAAGGTGAAAATTAAGTGCTGGAATGGTGTAGCCACTTGGCTCTGGGTAGCCAATGATGAGAACTGTGGCATCTGCAGGATGGCGTTTAATGGCTGTTGTCCAGACTGTAAGTCTCCCTCTGTGCTCTCAGAACTTGGGCATGCTCCACCAGCCTTAAAAACCCTGGGTTTCCCGCCACTAGGGAGGCAGAGGCAGGAGGATCTCTGAGATTGAGTTCAGCCTGGAAGTTCTAGGGCAGCCAGGGCTACACAGAAATCCTGTATCAAAAAACTAAGCAAACCAAAACCAAAACTGTGGGTTTTAGTTTCCATTTCCTGAAGGAAAGTTGACAGAAAGTAAGCAGAATAATACTTCAACCCACTTTTTGTTTTTTGTTTTGTTTTTTTCAAGACAGGGTTTCTCTTGTGGCTTTTGGACCCTGTCCTGGAACTCACTTTGTAGACAAAACTGGCCTCGAACTCACAGAGATCCACCTGGCTCTGCCTCCCAAGTGCTGGGATTAAAGGCCTCCGCACCACCGCCCGGCTTCAACCCACTTTTGTATAAAGACCTTATCCAGCATGGTGGCAAATACCTGTAATATCAGCATTTGGAAGCAGAAACAGGTGGATCTCTGAGTTGGAGGCTACCTAGGGAGACTTTGTTGGAAAAACAGAGAGAAAAACAAACGAACGAAAACACTTGTTTTTGCCAGGGCATGGTAGCAACAGACCTCAGACCCATAACAACAGGACTTGGGAGACTGAGGCAAGGGGATCTTGAGTTTGAAGTCAGCCTGGGCTACATAGTGATAATCTGTCATTCCCTTAACTACTCAAGATAGTGCTTTCAGTTTGGATTTTCTCAAAATCCAAATGCCCAGCACATTGAAGCTCAGACAATGGTTACCATATTGTCATGTTGGCTGGGCCTTTGTGCTTCAGTATTGTAAACTTTAGATAGATGCTTATAAACTGTGGAGCACTCTTTAGCCATGTGTCTTACAAGCTGTTCTAGCATCCTTGTTGAAACATCTGCCCCCAAATGTCTTTTTTTTTTTTTTTTCTTTCCTTGAGACAGGGTTTCTCTGTGTAGCTTTGGAGCCTGTCCTGGAACTCAGTAGACTAGGCTGGCCTTGAACTCACAGAGATCCGCCTAGCTCTGCCTCCCGAGTGCTGGGATTAAAGGCGTGTGCCACCACTGCCTGGCTCCCAAATGTCTTAGTATTGGGGTTTGAGACATTCCCAACATCTCAGTATTCTTGGTCTTTCAACGCTTTGATCTAAATAGTTTCTTTTTAACTCTTTTTTTGTTTTCAAGGCATTTGAATTTTATTATCTTAATGTGTTTTGCAGAATGCAAATGCTCTTACGTTTTTTTTTTAATTGTTCCTATGTCCCCAGTATGTTATATGAAGTAGGAATGTTTGATTACATTGAAATGAAAGCAGATTCTATCTTATCTGTTTATTTATTTGTTTTGAGACAGGATCTCATTATGTAACCCTGGCTAGCCTGAAACTCACTATGTAGACCAGTCTGGTCTCAAGGTCAAAGAGATCTGCCTGCCTCTGCCTCCAGAGCGCTGGGATTAAAGCATGTACCTCCAGGCTCACCCAACATGAGTTAATCAGCCAAGAGTTAATCATCTTGATGTAATCAAAGAATTGTGAGTTGTCTCTTTTTTACCCCCCAAGACAAGATTTCTCTGTGTAGCCCTGGCTGTCCTGGAATTTGCTCTGTAGACCAGACTGGCCTCAAACTCACCAAGATCCGCCTGTCTCTGCCCCCCAAGTGTTGGGATTAAAGTCGTGCACCACCACTGCCCATCGAGTTGTGAGTTTCTTAGGAAGTTGTTGATTTTTCTAATTTAAGTTTTATCTATAGCATTTGTGATTAGTAACCAAGCACACAGTTCTAGCTTTTATTTTAAGCAGAACAAATGTAGATTGTTGTTGTTGTTGTTTTTGAGACAGGGTTTTTTTATGTAGCCTAGACTGTCCTGGAGATATCTCTGTAGACCAGGCTGGACTCAAACTCACAGAGATCCGCCTGCCTTTGCTTCTGAGTGCTGGGATTAAAGGCATGCGCTACCACTGCTTGTCACAAATGTAGATTTATTAAGAAAAATGAGAAGGAACTCCCAGGAGTGTGAAGGGTTACAGGGGAGGAATACTCTTTCAAAATCAATCAATCCATTTCTTATTTGATGGCCCTGGGGATTGAACACGGGGCCTTTCATGTGCTATTCAAGCTCTCTACTACTGAGCTGTATTCCCAGCCCATTTTATGTTTTGTTTTGAGACAGGTTTTACTGAGTTGATCAGGGTTGTCTCAGACTCACTCTGTCTTGAACTTTGAGTTCTCCTTCCTTGACTTCCAGAAGAGCTAGAGTTACAGGCTAGCCCAACTGTTCATTTCTTCAAAATCACTGCTTAAGGCATCCTCAAGGATGCTACTGTTATGTCATAGAAGCTGCTCCTGTGGGGATCAGACATAGTGCCTTCACTGATCTGCTGGGCTCAAGACTCCTCACCTGGGCTTAGAAACTTCTCCCCTCTGAAGTCTATAAATGTGAGAAATGTTTCCTTTGTTTTGCTGATTGCTGTTAGGTTTTCTGTCCCAGCTTTCTGTGCTGCAAAGTGGCTATTATTATTAAAGGACTCAGATTACCTGAAGTGTGGTATCTCTAACCAAACCTGGAAGGATCTTTATTTAGCAGAGCTATAAAGAGGAGAGGACTTCATAACATTAGACTGTTAACTTTGTAAAAACTTTGAGGAAATTTTATAGCAATTCCCACCTTCAGGCAAAGGGTGGACATGGAATCTGTAGATTGAAGGTGGTTCCATTGGCCCCAGAGCTGCCCATTCTTACCTGAGCATAAGTGACCCACACACGGAACACAGCTTGGATTTCCCAGCTAGATCTGTAACAAAGGGTTGATCAGAAAGCGTTTTAGATGGCTAGGCACTTAGTGTCCATCCGTATGAAGTAGACTCAGGCTTTCTTAAAACAGGGCCTTTTGGCTGTGCAGAGTGGGAGACTTAGTTCCACTTGTGGACTGTTTAAATGAGAGGACGTTGACTTTAATGTACCAAGTGTTTGACAGGCCCACGGTGTTTTCTGGATAGATTCTATAAAGCACCAGATTTCTCATGGATTAAACTCCTGTGGAAATTAAGTTACCAAGGCCTGTAATAAATCTGTTTCAGGTCCCAGGGGGCTTTAAGGTAAAGCAGTCTTGTCATGAGGTGTTTTAATTAAAAAAATAATTTCATCAAGGCACTAACAAATCCTTGAGTGAATCATCCTCAGTGCACTAGCATGCTCATCAAGTACTCCGGCTTGCTGCCTGTAGGGACATCTTGAGAACAAGGCAGCACCTTCCTCCGAATGACTACCCACAAATGAGCCAGCTAGTGATCCTTGTTGGTGATCTAGTTGGGTCCAACTCTAATTGGACAGGAGTGATTTCAAGCAGAGTTCTGCTGAGTTAGGAGCCAGCAGTGGTGCGCACACCTTTAATCCCAGCACTCTGGAGGCAGAAGCAGGCAAGTCAGAGTGAGTTCCAGGACAGCCTGGGCTACACAGAGAAACCCTCTATTGAAACACAAAACAAAGAAGAAAGAAAGAAAGGCTCAGTAGCGCTGACAGTGTGACAGACATAGGGCTGGTACCCCAGGATAGATTGGGTCCTGTGAGGCTTAGCTCTTTGGACTCGGGCTGATACCGATGTGGGACAGGACCTAAAGGGGTCCCTGTGCTCTACCTTCTTCAGTTTGCTTGTGTTTGAACAGGGTCTCATGTTTCTTGTATCTTAGGTTGGCTTCAGAATCCTTATGTAGCGAGTATGGCTTTGAATTCCTGAACCTCCTGCTTCCATCTCACAAGTGCTAAGTGCTGGGATCATCCGGGTATACAAAGCTGGGGGTAGAATGCAGGGCTTTGTGCATGCCAGGCAACCATTCTACCAGCTGAGCTACACTCCCAGTCTCCCCTTTTGTTTGCTTTAAAATCTTACTTAAAAAAAGATTTATCTATTTGTATTGTATGTGTATGGGTGTCTGCCTGAATGTCCTTCTGTACCACGTACATGAGTGTCTGTGGAGACCAGAAGAGGGTGTTGACCTCCCTGGCACTGGGGTTACAGATTGCTGTGAGCTGCCATGTGGAAGCTGGGAACTGGATCTGGGGTCCTCGGCAAGATCAGCAAGTGCTCTAACTGCTGAGCCATCTGTATAGCCCCTGATTAATTTGATCATGATATGGACTTTGTCCATCTCTGATTGGGCTTTCTCCATGGAAGAAGCATTTTCAGGCTTGCAGAGTGGGTGCTTGCAGCCTGTGTCCCTGGCTTTGAATGGAGGTGGTAGAGTTGAGGATTCAGGTGAGATAACACATACTGATACCAAGTCCCATCAGTAGCTATCCCAGGAACACCAGGTCCCTAAGGCCCTTGTAGTGCAGTAGATCTCTGGTGTCCATGGAAAGAGCTTTCCAGGTTCTAGGAGGCTTTTCTGAAGACAAAGAGTTACCTACTCAGGTTGTGAATCTTTGGCACCTTGACCATTTTAATGTTACCTTCTGGGTGTGACAGGTCAGTTTTCCACAGAAGGGTGTTAGGGAGGCACTGGAAACTAGTGGACCAGGCCAGACCTCCCCGCTCTGAGAAGGCTTCCCTTGGTAATGAGGGAGTCTCTGTAGATCTTTTATGCAGTGGGCCATATCTGGGGATGATTTGGGTCACACTCCTCCTTTTTATCTCCTCTGATATAGGAGACGTGAGAGGCTCTCCCTGTGGGCTAGAGCAGTTACCAGTATCCTGGAGGTGCCTGCTTGGCTTGTCACATGCTCTTGTGTGTCTTGTCTGGTTCCTCTTCCTAACCTCTTCCCTCTGGCCCCCCTGCAGGTAAGGTGCCTGGCGATGACTGCCCCCTGGTGTGGGGGCAGTGCTCCCACTGCTTCCACATGCACTGCATCCTCAAATGGCTGAACGCGCAGCAAGTGCAGCAGCACTGCCCCATGTGTCGCCAAGAGTGGAAGTTCAAAGAGTGAGGCCGGTGCTGTGCCCAGTCCCTCTCCCAGCACTATGCCAGGCTCGGCCCCTTCCCTTCACCAGATCCTGAGACCCCCTCCTCACAGTGGTACCCAGGGACCTTGTTCTGTACGGGGGACAAGGATGTGTTCCTTTTGACTGAAATAAGGTTCACTTGTTTTTTGTTTTTTCCCATCACATCATTGACACTTTATTCAATAAGTAAAACTCATTAAAGTTCTGAGCCTTGCTGGAGGCCTCTGTTGCCTGTTTTCTTGACATATTGATTCAGCTGCAGCATGTTTTGGTATGAAAACCCTTAAATAATAACCCTTGAATAAACATCTTGATGAAATAACTGCCAAGGCCTCCATGATAACATGAGTCACAACTCAGAAACAGGAAAATAGAAGAGACAAGGCAGCGCCAAGCTGAGCAAAGACCTTAGGGTGTATTTGTGCCAACAGGACTGGCAGGGGGAACATAGCCCATCAGCTGCCCTAACCTGGCGGAAGCCCCAGGATCTCTCTCGATCCCCAGCCCTAGCTGAGCAAAGCTGGCAACCACCCTTCGGGAGCCATTTTGGTTGGAGGAAGAGATAGCTAAGCAGGTGCTGGTCATGCCCAGATGATCTTCGGGGAATACTGCAGCAAGCTGTTCAGAGTCCCTTGCCTTTTCCTCAGACTGAGGGCCAGATTTGGTGTAGGAGGATGTGGGTCCTCTGGTGTCTTAGGGAAGGACAGCCCTTCGGACACTCCTTTATTCCCTACAGCTGGGGATTATCAGCCATTAGGGGAACAATAGCCCAGCCTCAGGGTGCCTGGAAGCTTCTGGGTGGAAACCAATTTAGGCTGGGAGTCCTGGTCAGTTCGTCACCTTGTCCTCACACAGACTCAGTGACCATAGACTCAGTGACCATTGCCAGTGTGAACACGTTTGCACACCACATGTGCCCTACACCCTGGAGAGTAGACCAGCAGGGGCAGGGCTCAAGGCCATCTGTGTCATCTACATGTGTGTTGGCTGAGACTTGCTGTCCACTCTGTATGGTGCCCTTGAGGTACTCCTACATGAAACATCTATGCTTCTGAGAGACTGTAACTCCATATAGATAGCACTCAGTTATCTGTAGCATTCTGGTCCTGGAACTGGCACCAGCTATCAGGAGTAGAGATGGAGTGTAACTCAGCCTGGGGATACCCAGAGCTGAGAGGAAGCCAAGATTTGTGGATTTGGAGCTCCTTGGGCTGACAGGTCTGGTCCATCTTAGCTTGTTTTTTCCATCCCCAGTCTGCTCACTCTCTGGGAGTGCCTCTGTGCTTTTCCTAGGAACCTTCTGTGGGGAATTCATCATTTTGGGTCATCCTGTGAAGCATCTTCCTGTTGACGAGGTTTTTATCTTCCCAGGCTCACCTCAGTTCCCTCTGAGGCTACAAGGCTTCACTCTGGGTTCCTCAGCACTTAGGTCTTTGTGCTCTCTGATCTCAGGGTTTCAGTTAGTCCTGTCCTCAGGGTCAGCTCCACCCATCTCACATCCTCAGTCTCTCTAGCGGTCAGAAAACCATAAACCCTGGGCATGTACCTCCCTGCATCTGGGGTCCCTGACTCCTGCCTTTTTTCTTCTCCATTATCCTTCTACCTGTTTCCTCCAAAAAGGTCAGGACACCTGATAGAATCCAATTACTACAGCTTGTGCTCCCAGGCAGGAACAGAAGGTCCTGTGGGAAGCTCATGCCATAGGCTTTCTCCATGCCCTCTTCTTTAATGAGCCTGTACCCGCCTGCCCGGCCAGGGACTCTGTCCTACTAATGTTCTGGCCCCTGCACACAACACAACACATGTCTCTTACACATTTCCATCCTGTGTCCAGTATTTGAACCACTGTTCGCTAAGTACAGGCAGAGGAGTCTAGCCACAACCCCCTGGGGCAGAGTGGGTAGGACCTGGGGTCTAGAGTTGTTTGCTCAGGTCTTTCTGAAGGTTGGAACCTGAGTTTGATACTTTTCCTGCTCATAAAGGACAAGTCCGGTAGCAGAACCTTCCACCATAAGCACAAAACAAAGGAGTCCAGCCTGGCACTTGTGAAGATGACACAGGAGTCACTTTCCCCAAGTTCAAGGCCAGTCTGGGTCACAGAGTGAGACCCTGTTGTTGAGACTGGCACATGACCTGTGCTGTGCTGGCTAGTTTAATGTTAACTTGACATAAGCTAGAGTCATCCGAGAGGAGGGAACCTCAATTGAGAAAATGCCTCCATAAGATCAAGCTGTGGGCGGGCCTGTAGGCCATTTTCTTTCTTTCTTTTTTAAATTATAATTTCTGTTTTATGTGTTTATATGTTTTGCCTGCAAGCATGTCTGTGCATCACATGGATTTCCCCAATGCCTGCAGAGGCCAAAAGACATATGATACCCTGGAACTGGAATTACAGACAGTTGTGAGCTGCCATGTGGGTGCTGGGGAATTGAACTTGGGTCCTCTGGAAGAGCAGCCAGTGCTTTTTAACCACTGAGTCATCTCTCCAGCCTGGAAATTTCCTTTTTTTTTTTTTTTTTTTTTTGAGCCAGGGTTTCTCTGTATAACAGCCCTAGCTTCCTGGTATGTGCTTTGTAGACGGGCCTCAAACTCACAGAGATCCACCTGCCTCTGCCTCTTAAGTGCTGGGATTTAAGGCGTGGGCCACCATAGCCAGTGAAAAATTTCTGAATTAATGATTGATCAGGGAGGGCCCAGCCCATCGTGGGTGGTCCTGGGTTCTGTAAGAAAGCAGGCTGAGGAAGCCACGAGAAGCCAGCCAGTAAGCAGCACTCCTCCATGGCCTGTGCATCAGCTCCTGCTTCCAGGTTCCCTGTTTGAGTTCCTGCCATGGCTTATCACAGGAGACTGTGACTGGGCATATGTCAACCAAATGAAACCCTTTTCTCCTGAAGTTGCTTTTGATTATGATGTTTCATCACAGCGGTAGTCAGTAATCCTCAGACAGTCCCGCATCCCACCCTCGGACATTGATACTTCTGGCCAGTAAGTCTTGGACCTAAGAGGGCAGTTCAATTTCGGGCAGGGAGAGATTGGCCCTCTGCCCACCCGTGACATGAGTATTCAGGCCTGGCGAGGTGTGAGAGATCCTCCGTGCTCGGCCTGTGCTCCACTGCCGCTCTTCCCTGCTGCTCCCCCACCCCGCCTCTGTCCCCGCCCCCACTGCAGATATAAAGCCCAGCCTGGTTCACAGACTTCAGCCACATTCCCCTGACCCTGCCACACAGCTCCATGGCCCAGTGTGGGACGCTGGTGGCCGCAGCCCTGGCGCTGCTCTTGCCGCTCCTGCCGCCAGCCCTTGCGTGGTACAAGCCTGCGGCGGGACCCCACCACTACTCGGTGGGCCGCGCCGCGGGGCTACTGTCCAGCTTCCACAGGTTCCCGTCCACGCGACGCCCCGAGTCCTCAGCACACCCCGTCGGAACAGGACCCCTACGCTTGGAGATGCGCTCCAGCCTAAGGAGCCTTGTGAGTGCAAGCCGGTGGTGGGTGGCGGGAGCTGGTGGGGCAGGGGCGGGCCCTCAGCCTCCACCGCCTACCCAGGCCCTGTGTGTCAAAGAGGTGACCCCGAACCTGCAGAGCTGCCAGCGGCAATTCAACAGCCCAGGGACTTTCCAGTGTAAGGCGGACGTCTTCTTGTCGCTGCAGGAGGCTGAATGCCAACGGCCTACACCCTGAACCCCAACCCCAACCTCGACTGGCTGTGGTGGGTGACCCCCGTGCCCAGTCTTGCTCGATGCTTGAAGCAGCGCCGGCCCTGTCATGTGGGTTGACGCCTGTGGCCCCCTAACCCTATCACGCTCCGTATCAAATGGCTAAATGAATAAAGAAGCAAAGCTGTCTCTGCTGAGGGTTGCTGGTGAAGGTAAGCACAGACACTGAGAAGTGCTCCTGTGAGTGGGTGATGGGCTGAGCAGGCCCCGGGGCCACCGCTTGGTTTCCCGACAGCATGCCCTTCTCTGGCCAGGCTGGGTCTTTCCCTCTTCCACAAAGCCAAAAGAGGTATAGAGGCCCCACCACCCCGCCCCCACTCCACAGGTGACCCTCTGCTTAATTAGCAGGCACTGAGGATAGACAGTTCCTAGCAGGTCCAGAGGAAGCAACCCCCAGAGGATCCTCAGGCCCTACCATCCTGTCCCTCAAAGTCTTTCAGAGTCACCCATAACAGTCCAAGTTCACAGGTTCTTTTAGGAAGCCCTGCTTTTTTGGGTCCTGCCTCACCTTAGGTGACTCTCCTGCTTCTGGGATTCCTACTGCTCCCAACCCTAACCTTGTCTGTCTGCCACCCTTTAAAGTCCCTCCAAAAGACCTTGAAGTACTAAGCACATAGCTACTGTGTGTTCAACAAATAAGAGGACAAGAAGTAAGGTATGCGGATCCAGAGCAAGGATATAACTAACCGCACAGGAGCCCTTAGACCCACCCACAAAGCTGGGTACAAGTCTGGCCTGGCCTCCCTTCAGGCCTCACAGATCCGGGCCACCCTCCCCCAAATGCCCACTGCCCTGAGGGCCAGAGGGACTATCAGGCTCAGTGACCTGCCTGGCTAGCCCCTCACACATTCTGGGTCACAAACCGAGTGAGCAGCGGGCTCCAGCTCTGCCTCTGGCTGCTGCCTTTTGCCCTGCCTTCCCTCCAGCCCAAAGCAAACACTTCCAGGTGCCGACTCCAGTCCCTGAGCTCTGGTCTGAGAGGCCCTGAGCCTGCTGTGTAGGGCATCTTCTTCTCCATGGTGCCCTCACCAGCCACACCTCGCTCAGAGCCATGGGTGGCACACAGACACCTGTCTGTGCAGTGTTCCTCTGAGGACCAGCCCCAGTCTAGGAGCAGCACACTCAGGTGGCTTCCTTGACCTGAGGCTGCTCAGGGATCCTAGTGTGGGTACCACCCCATTCCTAGTAGGCAGTAGGGTTGAGGTGAGGAATGCTGAGCACCACCCAGGCTGGAAGTATGTGTGCCTCTCCTCCAGATCCTGACTCGAGGTCTGAAACATTTACAAAGGCTCTCCTGTCTCAAAGGGAGGAGAGAGGGCAGGTCTACCTGCTTCGGCATTGAAGAGGGCGGGCATGGGATAGGAAAGCACCACCAGAATCCTTGTTTGGGAGGAGCCAGGGCTTCACCATTCTTGTCAGCTGCTTCAGCATTGAGCCAGTCTCCCTACAGTCAACCACCAAGAGGCAGCTCTAGGAGCCTCAGCAACTGCTGGACTCCAAGTAGACCTGCTAGGGTGCCAAGATCTAGACCCTGTGGTCTATAGAAGAGCCAGAGGCATGTGCACAAGCCACCCAACTTCCTGGCCTGGATCTTTCTCCCTTTCTTAAAACAATTCTTGCTGAAGAAGGGTTTCCTGATTCTTCCCAGGGCTAGAAGCCCACGGAGCACGTCCCACTAGGCTTTATTCAGTTGAGCCAAAGAGATTTACATCAGCCACCAAGGTACAAAATGAGGACCAGGAAGTCTGTGCCGAGAACAGTCAAGCTGGCCCAGCCGTCAGGGCAAGTGCATCTTCTAGGAATCAGGAATGGGGTGCTAGAACGTGCCCCAAAGTAGAGGGTACCCACTTGTAGGGTGACACAAAACAAGAGGTCCCCAAAGTGATCCCTCTGTACCTTTCACCAAAGCTGGGTGGGCAGATATGCAGCTTCCAGTCAGGCAGAGGGGTGTCCCCAGGCAAGACTGGGTCAGTGGCAGTTGGGACTGTGGATGCTAAGGACACATCGCAACACTCCTCCTGTCACAGGTGCCCTCTGCTTATCCTGTCCACTGGGCTGCTTCCCTGTGCTAGCCACCCTCTCTGAGCAGCTCAGTGGACAGGACTGAGTCTATTGTAAGACAGACAGTGCCTCCCTCACAGGCAGGCAGAACAACGCCCTCCAGCAAGGCCAGCTTCCTTTGGAACTGTGTGAGCTGACACCAAGACACAGGAGCAGAGCAGGGCAGGGAGAGAAGAGATGGGCACAGGGCAAGGGCATGAGCGATATCCTCCAGGTCAGAAGCTAGTCAGTCTCCCCTGCAGGCTGTGCCCCCTGCTGCCTCATGGCCTCCAGAAAGGCCAATTCCTTGGCTTCCTTCTTCTGATTCCGGGCTTCGTACTCCAACCTGGGCCAGACAGGTATAAACTGGGCCTTTCCAATACTGGGAGTTGCCCACTGCCAACCCAGTCAGAGTGGGTGGGAAACACACCTGTTTTTGATAATCCTTTGCACAATCAGGTCTGTAGTGAGGTCGCTACCACTGTCGATCTGACGGAAGATTCCTCTTCTCTTGGGTTCCTGGAGGCCTCAATGCAAAGAGAAGAGGAGGGTGAGAAACCTCCTGACTACAAAAACAACCCCGGGTGCCCCTCCACCCATGGGAGGCCAATACCAGTGAGGATGGTTGTTCCTGCTTCCCAGAGGCAGCCCAGGCCGGGGCAACCCACCTGGTAGGGGTCAGAGCCATCCCTGTCAGGTACAATTTCTGTCTTCCCATGACATACTAGGTCCACCTGGGGGGAGGAAGCAGGGTCAGGAGGCCTCCTCAGAGAAGCTATGCCACCACTGACAACCACCCAGGCAGGGTCCTCGAACCTTGGCATCATGTTCTGCTCAGCTAGAGAGAAGCCTCACCTTGAAGTGACTCAGGAGCTCTGCTGTGACCGAGTATGGTGCCCCAATCACCACTTCTGAAACATACTGCAGAGACAGGCAGTAAAGCAACTCACTCAGTCCTCATTTCTGGCAAGCCAGGGGTAGAGGGTGGCAGAGAAGGCCCCAGGGGAGCCAGCTGGGATGGGGCAACATGGCAGGGGTCAGTGGGCAAAGGGAATCCTCAGACTCCTCAGCAGGGGAAAAACTGCACCAATAGGGCCCAGCCACCCTCCACCCCCCTTACCGGGCAGGTGGATGCCCCTGCCCTGGCTCAGGGAAAACATTGCTCCCAGCCCACTCACCCGGCAGGCCAGCACACTGAGAGTCCGCTCGTGCAGGTTCATGATGGGGTAGTTCTTGCCCTTGTATCGGTTTACTTCCTAGGGCCAGGAGTTTGGCTCAGCTAGTGAACAGTGCCCTCCCTCCCAGCTGGCCTTCCTGGGCAGAAGCTGGGAGAGGTACCCCCTCTCACAGGAACACCCTAGGCAGGGCTGTCCTGGACTCCAGAAGAGAACCATGCTTGCCTTCACTAGACACCTGGAGCCTCACTCCTTCAGAGGCCACCTGTGCCCAACACTGACCCCAGCGAGGCCCCTTGAGGGATCCCATGGCCCATCAGCTGATGGGGTGCTGAGAAGCAAGCAAGCAGAAAGGCAGAGACCTGGTCAAAGTGTAGGCCGGCGATGATGTAGGGCCTCTTGGCTAGCTTATGCACCTTCTCTAGGAAGTCCACGTGCCCGATGTCTATATCCGGATTAAGAAGCAGTAACTAGCTGTGTATGATGGTGTTTTCCTGTAAACCCAGTACTTGCATGGTGGAGGCAGGAGCATTGCAAGTTCTAGGTCAGCCTGGACTACACAGGAATATTCTGTCTCAAAAAAGCAAGACCTGGGATTGTAGCTCAGCAGTAGATCAGTTGTTTCAGATACAGAACCCTGGGTTCCATCCCCAACCCAAGGGGGGTAGCGGGGGGAAGAGGCAGCAGTAATGGGCTAGGGAGGGGCTCTGTCCTCTGTCCTCAACAGCATGTACCCAAGGGACTCCATGCCATTTTCCCTGATGAGGGTTATACCCACTACAACCCAGCTCAACCCTGGAGCCTTGGAGTCTATGGGTTCCACTCTGTGGCATGAATGTGGGGCAGCAGAAGCCCTAAGAGGATACGGAACAGGTCAAAGGCACCGGCCACGTAGATGACTGTCTCCCCAGGCTGGGGCTCCTTCCCAGAAGCAAACTGGATGATCTTCTGGGATGTCTGTAGAAACTGGGACACCCCTGTCCAGGGGTTCTGCCCCCCAGGACACTATTAGCCAAGAGAAGGAACCAGTCAGCGGTAGAGGCCTCTATGTGTGCCCCTCACCCAGCACCCTCCCCAGGGCCATTCTTCTGAGCCCAGGGTTCCCTGTGCCCCTGTCATAGGTGTGGGTGATGGGAGCATGTACAAAGAGCATTAGAGGCTGGACTCCCCCCCAACCCCAGCCTGCGAATAACCCAGCAGCACGCTGGCTATGGGCTCTGTCCAGGCAGGCACTTGGGGCAGGGGCAGGGACACACCATGGTAAGGCCAAGCAGGACCACTGTAGCTAGCAGGACTGTGGTTCCACCCGGTGGCCACAGCAGATACTGCAGTCAACACCAGCTCTGCCTGGCAACACAGCACCAGGACCAGGAGCAGGCGCAGAGCCCAGTGGCCAGCAGACACAGCCCTCTGAGGGACCCGGCACCCTGAGGCCACCATCTGGTCACCTGGGAGGAGACTTCTGAGGAAAGTGTGTCCCCGGCAGGTGTCGGGTGAGGGGGCTACAAAGGGAGAGAGGGCCAGGCCATTTGGTTAGATGCCACCTGTAGGTGGGCAGTCCTTGTTCCTCCTCCAAGAAGTGGCTGCTGGGACTGGCCACCTCTTGCCTGTCCTCCCTCCCAGCATCCACTAGCTGGCCAAGCCTGGCGGTCAGTACCTGGTCAGCACTGGGAAAGAGAGGGAGGAGGGCAGACAGTGAATGAAGCTCTGGGTCAACCTTTCCCCATGGGAAGCCTAAGGTGGGTGGATGGGGAGTGCTGTGTGGTGGCTAGTCAAATGTCAGCTGTATTTCCAGAGTGGCCTCTGCAGCCAGGCTGTACTCACCTTGCCAAAACTGTCAGCATATTCCCGATACTCGGAGGACATCTCCTGCACACAAGGGCAAGAGACTAAGGGACCGTGCCCTCCTGACTGCCAACCCTGGGACCAGCACACCACAGCCCCAGAGCCCAGTGACAGGATGGTCAGGGAGAGAAACAGGATAGACCCGAGGGTGGTTAGGAGGTGGTCCCTCCCTCCCTCTGTGTCCTCAACCCAAGGACCATGTCCCAGACCCCATTCCTTTGGACTCACCTGGCTGCTATGGTGGGCCTTGGTCACCAGCAGCATGCGACCCACGAGGTCTGTGGTGGACACACCCTGGGTGCGTTTGCACTCTCTGGGGCAGAGGTAAGGTGGAGGTTTTCATCCAGGATACACTCCTGAGGCTCTGCTATAGGCGGAACCCACCTGAGGGACACGACCCTAACCCAGTCCCCCCCAACAGAAAACCAGACTGGGGCAGGAACAAGGGGCCCATATCAGTGATTCAGCTACTCAATGTAGCACCAGGGAGTAGGCAGGCCAGATCTGGGACACAACAGCTCTGGTTCCCATTCTGACATTGTACCGTCTGGCCTCTCTTACACCCAGGGCCCTATACCCTGCTATACATGCTCTGCTAAGGGAATTCCAGGCTGCTCTGTCTTCTGTAGGAACCACTAGCCACAGAAGGCTCTTTAAATTACAGTTCACTAAAATAAAAAGCCAGTGCTCCAGGGGCACCAGCGACATTACTGAGTCTATGGATGCCCTACAACAGTGGTGGCCAAGAATGTTGCCATTTGTGCAAAGCTCTGGCGGGTCACACAAAGGTCACCAGGTCACAAAGGTCACCCCCACAAGCATTCCTTCCTGTATCTTCCAGTCCCAACTGTGGGCCCAAATGCCTTGCAGGCTACTTCAAAGCAGTAATGAGAGCTAGGAAGGGATCCACTTGAGTATCACGGGACCTACCTGTACCTCCCAGCCTGCTTCACTTCCTCATAGGTATCTCGGCCATCTACTGTCAACGTGATGTCATCTAGGGGTGACATGCACACAGAAAAGGATTTGTTTTTAGTTGTTTTGAGAGAGAGAGAGGATCTTGCTATGTAGCCCAGGCTGTCCTGGAACTTTTGTTTTGTTTTTCGAGACAGGATTTCTCTGTGCAGCCCTGGCTGTCCTGGAACTTGCTTTGCAGACCAGGCAACTCAGAGATCTGCCTACCTCTGCCTCCCAAGTGCTGGGGTTAAAGGCTTGCACCACTATCACCCACCTGACCTGGAACATTTAACGTCCCTGTTCAGCCTCCCCAGTACTAGGATGATATGTATGCGCCATCACACTGGGCTCATAAACAAGGATCCTTAGCTCAGAGCACCCGTGGGACCAGAACCACCCTTTCATTTGTGCCGTTGCTCTGGGGAATGGACCCAGAGCGTTCTTGTATCTGCATAGGATGAGGAACCCTCTATCTCTGAGATGCTGTCAGCTGTCAACTGGTCTGATTGAGCCCAGCCCCCATCTCCAGGCCCCACCCACTCACTGCCATGAACACAGAAGTCACAGTTGTACTTGTCCAGTGTCTCCAGTGTGGTGACGTAGGGAGCAGCGGGTACCACCTCATCCACCCACTTGATGGCCTGTACCATCTTGTACCTCTCCTCCTGGGTAAACACTGGGGGCCCCTTATGCTTGGCAATTTCCTCTAGGGACAGAGAAAAGAAAAAGGACAAAACAAGACAATTGATGTCCAGCTCAAAGCCCGGTCCTTAGGAGTCTATCACAAAGCCCAGCGGGAATAACCACTCAAGTGCAATGGTATGCAGCGGTTCATTTCCGCTGGCTGCAGCCCACAAGGCGGGACCCCATGGAAACAGCACTGTCCTCTAGCCAGCATTGTGTGCTCAGGGCATCTGCTAGTTAACAAGGATGGCCTATAACCACGAAAAGCCATCAGTCTCTTCTGGTCTCAGAAACCAGGGTAAGGGTGGACAACACAGCTGAGGAAACTGTCCAGTGCTGCCACAGCTCTCTATAGCTGGCACCAGGCTGGCTTACTGACTGAACTTTGAGTCCCCACTATGCTCTGGGGAAGGATATGGGATCATTCTGCCACCCCCACTGCCTTGCAAGCCTGGTCAGTTAGAGCAGGTCCCAGGCACAGCAACCCACACCTTACCATCCGTATGCACACCCACGATGAGGTAGTCCCCCATGGCCCGTGCCTGGCGCAGCTGATTGGAGTGGCCATAATGCACCATGTCATAGCTGTGAGGACAGACAGGACAGTCAGGTCCTGTACTAATCTTGGCAGGAAACTGGGGGCCTTGTGCAGGACACAGCTTTGGTCTTTGGAAGCCCCCTGGGAAGCCCCTATGGGGGTTATTAAACCAAACCCCCGGGTGTTGGGCCTACAGAGGGAGAGCTGGCTCTCAGTCGTCCATACCCTACATACTGGACTTAGGGAGGACTCAGTCAGTACCAGGTCTAGCAACAGTGGCAAAGTCAGGGACAAGGCCTGGTAAGTCCAGAGAGCTGGTGAGTTCCAGACAGTTGTTCACTGGCAGATGTGTAGCCATTTCAAGCTGCTACTTTTGTTCTTCTCTACCCCCCACCCCCAACCCCAGATAGGGCTTCTCTGTCCCGGAACTCACTTTGTAGACTAGATCCACCTGCCTCTGCCTCGAGTGCTGGGATTAAAGGCCTGTGACACCTCTGCCTGGCTCTGTTTTTTTTTTGGATTTTTGAGAAAGGGTTTCCCTGTGTAGTTTTGGTGCCTGTCCTGGGTCTTGCTCTGTAGACTGGCCTGGAACTCACAGAGCTCTGCCTCCCAAGCGCTGGGATTAAAGGCGTGCGCCATCACCGCCTGGCCTGGATCTGTTCTTTTTTCAGAAGATAAGATTTCAGGTAGCCCATGCTTTCCTCAGACTCACTGTGTAGCCAAGAATGACCTTGAACTCCTGACCCTCCTGACTCCACCTGCTGGGATTACCACCAAAACCCTTCTATTTGGATGCCAGGGAATAAATGCAGGACTTTGTACATACCAGGCAAGCATTTTACCAATTGAGCTACATCCCCAGCCCACAAAATAGAAGAGCTTGTCCAGGATTTGAACGTGGGATTTCTTGCACCCTAAGCAAGAATTATATCCCCAGATTGACAAGCCACACTCAAACTTTGAAACAAGAAAAGTAAACAGTCCTGAGTTAGGAGCAGACTCCATTCTACTGGAGTCAAGCAGACAGTTCCCCACCCCCATCCACATGGCCTGGCTTAGCTCTCTGAGAGAACAAGTGCCTGTCACCTGGTTCTGGAGCTTTTATCCTCAAATCTAGGTCTGACCCTGACTACACTGTCAAGGTCAAAGCTACCCAGAACCCAGCAACATGCTAGGCACTGAGGGTGTACCAGTGTACACTGGGACCACTTGTATCCTTCTCCATGGGCCAATGCTGGGCCACAGTCTCTGTTCAGTTTCCTCCAGAACTCTAGTCGGGTGTCATCAGGTGACCTGAGCAGCCCCGTATAGCCACACAGTACACAGAGTGGAGGCAGGAAAACAGACAACCCTGACAGGCTCAGGCACCACGGTAATTCTGGGCCACCCTTGTGCCCACTAGACAGGCTGGGCAAGATCAGAGGTCAGAGTCTGCATCAGGGATTATGGTACAGTATTGTGGCTGGGCCAAGGTCATAGTCCACTGACACGAAGTCAAAGCCACTGCTGGTGACTCAGGTGCCAGAGCATAAGGGGGCTGAAGTTGTAGTTCAGTGGTGGAGCACTTTCCTAGCATGTACAAGGCTATGGATCGCACCCTCAGGACCCACCAAACCAAAAACAAACAAGAAACGCACGAAGTCCAGTCCACTCCCCCTCCATATCTCCTGAGGGACCCTAGTGACCATTGCGCATCTCTTCTCATCCACCAGGGGTAGGCACGACGAAGGGCCGAGGGCGGTAAATTATAGAAAGGCTTGTTGACAGTTCCACGACTTTCTAACAGCAGCGTCACGGGCTGACTTGCCAGAGAAGCCCACGGCCTTCCAGCTCGGGTAACCTGGGTAATGACTCCCGCGGGCGGACGGCCGCATTTCCGGTGTTCGGGGAGCGCACTGCCCGATGCACCTGCGTCTGCACGCTACACTCCTAGGTGACCGGAGGCTAGATTGCCTCGTGCGGCCTCAGAAGACTGGGGATCCGCCAACTGCCGGTGCGTGACCCCGGGGTGACCGCCCGCCCCTCGCCGCCGGCCCACTCACCAGCCATCGCACCACACCCGCACTGCGCGCTGGCCCGCCGGGACCCTCCGCCCAGCAGCGCCGGCCTCCCCGTGCCCGTTCCGGATCATGGCACCACAGGACCCGTAAGACCGGGTAGCTCCCGCGACTCGCAGTACCTCAGCCCCGCCCCCGACGCTCGCGCGTGCTCACGCGGGTCTCACCCGCCTGTCGCGGCCAATTGAGTGCGTCCCGCCAGGCCCCGCCCCTGGCCGGGCCCCGCCCCTCCGCCCAAGAGGCGCGGCCAATGGTCTGTGTCGCAGGCCCTAGCCCAAGCAGGGTACGCCTCCTAGGGGATGTCCTGTAGAAATCCCTCCAGGTCCTGGTGTCCAAAGGGAACAGGCTAGTACCGCCAGAGCGCGGGCTCGGTTCGCCCCCACGCCTTAAGCATTCCTAGGGGCTGGGTTATTTGTTTTTTGGGGCAGGGTTTCTCTGTGCAACAGCTCTGGCTATCCTGGAACTAGCGCTGTAGACCAGGCTGGCCTCGAACTCACAGAGATCTGCCTGCCTCTGCCTCCTGAGTGCTGGGATTAAAGGCGTGCGCCACTCCCCACCACCCCCTCGGGTGTAGCTGGCCCTCGGACGTTTTCAGATCCTCCGTGGTGCATGTAGCAGTCATTGGGACACCAAGGCAGTAGAGAGATGTTTAATAAGACTTGCTCAGACTGGAGGCTTAGATCCGCCCCTGTGCCGCATACTCAACACAGAAAAAGGTTTCTATAAAGTGAACACTTTTAGTAGTTAAGTAGTAGAAATAGGGAGGCCCTGAGACTAGCCTGGAGAGTGAGGTAAGGCAGTGGTGGGCTCCTCTGCTGGCCAGGCCGGGAAAGACCGGAGCTGTTTTCACAAAGGCCTTGCTGCCACCTTTGTACAGGAGTGGATGGGAGGGATGTCCTTGAAAGTCAAGCCCATTTGGGGCAACCACAACAGTGCAAGGGAGGCTTCCCACAAGGGCAAATGGCTAAGAAAACGTCACCGTGAAATGTCACCCGCAAGAGTTCTTCCTACTAGGTCCTGTGGGGCACTGCAGCCTTCACGGTGACACAGGCCCCTGAACAAGACTCAAAGCCGTCTGCAAAGTGCCAACTGTTCTGCCAGCGCCTGGCTATGCCGCTTTCTTCCTTTTTGCACGTTTGGCACAGCCCCTACCAAACCAGCCTCCTCGGATGGGGGGAGCCGAGCTGAGCGGGGCGCTCTGGTCCCCAGGTGCGGCTGCTTCTCTGCTTCTGCACAGCGACTTCCTGCTGTGGCTGCCTTCTTCACCAGCACGGAGGGGAGTTGCCAAGGAGAAAATGGGGTCTTGCCACCTAACAGAAAGAGAAGCAGCATCAGACAAGTCTGAGACTCTCAGTCACAGCCCTCCCGGGAAGGCCGTCTGAGGCCAGCTGTCTCCGACCCCTTCCCTCGTGCCTCAGTGGTGGCTGGGCTCTGCCTACAGCAGCTGCAGTGTCACCGAGCTATGGAAGAGCTGCAGGGGATGATCTGCTTGGGTGGCAACTCGAAGGCCAGCAGCAGCCCTAGCTGGCCTCTTCAGTGTCTCGCCCATCATTAGTGGGCTCCACACACAAAGGAGGGCTAGTGCTAGCTGCAGGATGGCGCCATCTCCAAGGAGAAGTTGCTAGCCACTCTGGGCCCCACCTTTCACTTGTATGGATGGGGGCAGGTGGACCAGACCCTTTCCCCTTCCCAGACTGCATGACAGGGATGGGAGTGAAGGCCAGTTGGCTAGGGAGGCATGGCCTACAGACTACACCATGAAGAAATCATGTATCTGATTGAGATGCAGAACCACATATTATAAACGTAAGATAAAGATAAGCACTGATTTAAAAAAATGAGCTAACTTAATGTTAAAAAAAAAAAGACAAGAAAACAAACCAACAATAACAACAAAAAACAGTACAGCACAGGATAGGCCCACGTCACAGAACACCACAAACATAACATACAAGAATTGCCAGGCCCAGAGGTGAAGGGATCCTTAATTTCTTGAACCCTTTGATTAAAAGAAGTTACTGATTTCCCCTATAAGACCCTGAAAATTCACAGAGAAAGAAAGTGTAAACTTTTCACTCAAAATACACACCAAGTCTAAATTATCACAAATTCTGTATTAAGGCAATTTGATTAAGCTTTCCCCAAATATCCCAAAACCAAGGACACAGATTCTGTCTGACCACAGTTGCACAGTTCTCACCCCTCACAGTTGTCCACCCAGGCTGCAAGAGATCCGTGGGGAAACATCCCCCAGAACACACTGGCAGACCCCCCTCCTCACAGAGGTTCGGGCACCACTCCAGGGTCAGGGTGGAAGAGTGCACACATGTGGCGGAGCCTCGCCTCAGCCAGTCCCTCCGGAGGCTCACAGAAGACAGACATAGTGGAGTCACGCTGCACCCACTCACCGGTTGTAGACAGGGATCTCCAGGCCCAGTTCATCCATGAGGAGCTGCATTACATCATCGCATTTCCCATGAAGCTTCAAAGCAGCCCAGTCATCCTTTGGGGTCCACTGAAGATAAGAAAGGCAGATGAGAGTAACTTCCCACCTTTTGGGTCAGCCCTCTCCAGGAACATAGATAGACCTGTACAAGGCTTCCAGGATGTACAAACAAGGCACATTTCCCTGGCTCCTCTGATCTAAGACCCAGGTAGAAGGAGGAAGCTCTAAGCACCCATGTTACCTGCAAGTTCACAATGTAGAGTTTGGGCCGCCGGCTTGGAGGCTTCGTCATGCACCAGAGGCGAGGATACTTCTTTAGTACCTGTGGGAATGGACAGACACAACACACAGTACAAGGGTGAAAACTAAGACAGCAAATCTAATGCCCACTAATAGTTCTGGGTTCAACTCACTATGAGTTAATGGTGCTGTCAGCACGTACCTTCAAGCTGGACCCTAAACACAGGATCGTGTCTGCTTTACTAGCAGCTTCGGTCGCCGCCTCCCAGTTCAGAGGCTGCCCTAATGTCCCCCTCTCCCCAAAGTGCACAATGGTGTCCCGTAGCTGAGTCCCACACTTATGGCAGGTCCGGCCAGTCTGGTGTCGGTGAAGGGCAGTACGCTCTGTCACATCAAACACTCGTACATATTCCCTATTAGGGATGCAGGAAGTGCAGACCTGAGGATGAGAGGACACAGTGAGTGAGATTTGCCTGTCACCCAGGCCCTGCGTCCCTCTGGTACTGCTCACTTCTATATACATATTCCCATGGAGCTCTGAGATGGCAGTCCGTGGCAGCCCGCTGCGCAGATGGAGCCCGTCACAGTTCTGAGACACCACATGCTGCACCTGGAAACAGAACAGGGTGGCAGTCAGTAGGGGACGGAGGAAGCACCCTGTGGCAGTGAAATTATCCTGAGCCCAGTCTGGCCAAGGGCCAAGGTTCCCAAAACAAAGAGGCAACTGTAACCAGGAGGGCCCTGTGGTAGGAAGGAGCCAAGTTCTCCCCTACTAGCTCTGATACACTGGGAACATCCAGGAGAGAAAGCATCTGTGCTGCCCTTGCAAGGTGGGCAGCAGCTTGGGGCACTGGATCAGTACCCTCTTAGGTCATTCACTTTCAGGTCCCGCAAGAGCCTAGGCAGATCCCTTTCCCTACTTGCTCAGCAGATCTCTGGAGGTTTCTGACAAACCTCCACTGTAGCTAAGATGTTGTCTAAAGGTCCCCCGCCCCCAACCCCACCCCTGCCAATGACACAAAAGAAATCGAATGGAAAGCTGCAAGCTTTCAGGACAGGCGCTACTCTTTCTTCTTGGGAAGAAAGCACAGCAGGGACCAGACAGGAGTCTGAGCTCCTGGGACTGTTTGTCACAGGACCGACTGGGCACCGAGGTGCAGCTCTGGGCTCCTGGGACTGTTTGTCACAGGACCGACTGGGCACCGAGGTGCAGCTCTGGGCTCCTGGGACTGTTTGTCACAGGACCGACTGGGCACCGAGGTGCAGCTCTGGGCTCCTGGGACTGTTTGTCACAGGACCGACTGGGCACCGAGGTGCAGCTCTGGGCTCCTGGGACTGTTTGTCACAGGACCGACTGGGCACCGAGGTGCAGCTCTGGGCTCTTACCAGCTTTTGCTCATGCAAACGGGTGATGCTCATGTGGGTGAGCGTAGGCTCTGCTTCACTTAGGTCAGCAGCACTGAAGGATAGAAGAGAAAAGGGAGGAGAAAGAGCTGTACCACGCAGGTGCAGCTGGTGCCTAACCATGTGAGAAAACTGCGAGATGCTCACCTCACACTTCTTCCTTTCTGAAGCAGTGTCCATACCCCATTAGGGCCCCGATAATCTGGGATGGAAGCTGCCTGTACAATTGGACAAAAAGAGAAGTCTAATGGAAGGGAGTCACCAGGTACTGCAGAATACCCCATATAGGGCATGTCACAGTCTAGATTTGCCGATAGACTAGTGTCTGTTCCGTCCACTGCTGACCTGTCTGATCCCCAAGTAGAATGGACCCAAGGATGTCTCTTTCCATCTATGCTTATGACTTTCCTGTCCTGTCTAGGCCAGCTCACCCTTCCACACTCCTCAGAACCCTGCCCTACTTCAGGGTCCTTTCTAGCAGTGAGCAGCTATGTCCACATCTGTCTCAAACACTGAAGGTCTTAGTGTTTTCAAGTCATGTTTGGCAAATAGTAAACCCCAGGAGGGAGCGCACCTCTGTCCAAATACTTATATCCTGGGGCTCTGAACAGTTTTCATTCCAACTTAGCATACATATAAAAGCCTCTAAGATGAGATAAGCGTTAGTTAAATTTCCACGAGAAACAGAAAGCAAATAGGATCTAAGAGTCTTTGGATCCTGGCTGGGGAAGCCCTGTATCCTCACTGCTGCTTAAGCTCAGAGAGGTACCCACCCTGACCAGTAATCCCAATACATTAAGGGCAAGAACCTCAAATGGTGCTCAGACCACATTTACAAGCTGCACATGGTACTTAGTTGTCACCAGATCTGTAGAGGTGACATCACTGCTGTAAAGTCATAACTGGATGGATCATCACATGGCTCTGAAGGTCCCAAATGCTTATGTCCCGGATGTCTAAGAGTTAGAGCAGTAAATGTTCCTTACACTGCTACTGGCCACTGCTGTCTGTCTGTCACGCTTCTCATCCCCAAATTTCCCTGCAGAACCCTACTCAATGCCACTCCATTACCATTTTAAAGACAAGGTCTCTACGTCGTCCTGGCTGTCCTGGAACTTCCTATGTAGACCAGGTTGGCCTTGAACTTACAAAGAACCGCCTGCTTCCAAAGTGCTAGGATTAAAGGCTTGTGCCACCCCGCTGCGCTTGCCTTAGTTAAATCTTAAATCTAGAGTTGTTTCGGGTCTGAGAAAAGAGGACACCTTGGAGCTGCTTCAAAGGTGACTGAACTTGGGTAGTTACCAAACTCCAGCACCGTGCAGCCCAAGTCTGTGTCCCAGAAGGGGGCGCCCCACACCCGACCCAGCCCGCAGGCCCTCGCCTACCGTGCTGATCCCAGCGCCTGTGTAGACCACTAAGTGTTTGGCATTCCGGACAGCTCCCGCCAGTTCGCGGACCTTCCTCCGCAGTTCCTCTGGGTCATCACACACCTGACAGGAGCCGGGGCCGGTCACACGGGCCGCAGCCCGCCACCTACAGCCCACCGCCCGCCACCCGCCGCCCGCGACTCGCCTCCTCTTGGCGCCGCTTGAGGCCCTCACGCCGCCGGCTCCGACCCTGCAGCTCGGTCACCAGATCCTCGCTCTCGGCCAGAAGCCGGCCCTCCTCCGCGCTGCGCTCTGCAGCCGCCTTCCTCAGAATGCGTGACACCTGCGGACGAGCGGCCGATGAGCGACTGCACGCGCGGGCACGGCCGCGGGCACGACGGTAGCCTACCTGGCGGAGGCGCTCCCGCTGCTGCTCCTCTCGCAGCCTCCGGACCCGCTCGGCCGCCTTGCGCTCCGAGCGGCTCAGACCGCCACCGGCTGCCATCGCTCCCGGGACTGCGCTTCCGGCTTCCGCTTCCGCCTCGCCCGGCAGCCACAGAGACGCATGCGCGCGCCCGACCCACCCCCGCCCCTTCCGGCTCAACCTTCCCACCCTTGTTTCCCCTCCCCTCCTCTTTGCAAAGAAACACCAGCAGGTCTCTTTAAAAGGCGTTTATTGATCATATACAAAATAAAGAAAACCTTATATATCACAAACATACACTATGTACAGCAATAAATACCCGGGGGGCCAGGCCCAGCGCCGCCCCTCCTGGACAATAATTTAGCAATAAATACTGCGCAGGGCACGGGTGGGCACCAAGGCTGCTGTCTGCTGAGGCCAGACGGCTGATCGCTCTGCACTGGTGCGAACGCCCAGGCCTCACCTCGCAGCCAGATCCCTGATGACCCTACCCAGGTGCAGGAGACCGGGTCTCACCTTGCAGCCACATCCTAGCCCCTCTCACTTAGATCTTTAAGGACCCCCACTCCATTTAGGGTACTCTCTACTAACCTCCCCCTGGCTTCAGCCCTGCAGGGCAGGCAGGGGCTGATCAACTCTGCTTGGACACACCTCTCAGCACCAGGAGACCAACAGACCTGGACACACAATAGCCCTTGTCCTGTCGCCCTAAGTTGCCAGGAGGCGGCTTTCTGTACCCACTCCCATTGGTTAAAGGCTTCAAGGACTAGCAGACAGAGAGGATGGGAGGAAAGACAGGACTGGGGCAGAGTTGCTGGAGGGGCTGAAAGCCAAACTGGGGTCATAGAGAACAGGGAATTCTGTCAGGGGCACTCTAGACACCCGTGCTGCTGTTCAGGCTGCTGCTCCAGGGACAGGGTAGAATGTGTGCAGCTGGCCCAGTAGGTAATAGCACACTCCCAGGACACATGCCAGAAACAGGCAAGCCATGAGCGGCTCTCGCAATCCCATGCCTCTGTGTGGTACTGATCCTGTCCTCTTCTCCATAACTGCTCCCAAACCAGGCAGCCAAGAACATGAAAACATGCCAAGAAGAATTATTCAGTGGCTTTTGGGGAAAAAAAATCGTTAATGTGTTGGTTCCTCTCACCAAACCACAGCCTAAAAAAGTAACTCAGAAGATCCCAGAGCGGAAACAGTGCAGCAGGCTGTGGCTCAGACATCCCAGCTGTGGATGGGAGCTTTGGCCAAGTGGCCACACCAGAGAGGGAGGCAGCAGGGAAGTGGCCTCACCATCTCAAAGTGGGCTGTAGCTTATCAAAACTGCACACCCTGGCACTGGACACCAAGGCTGCTGCTAACACACACAGAGTACACACAGACCTGAAAGGTGGACTGAGAACAGCCTGTAGGGAAGCCTGGTGATGACAGGGTAGCTCAGTGTTGCCATGGAGGCCCTGCACTAATGGTACAACACCCAGGTTAGCAGCCAGACACAACGGAGGGGGAGGACTCTCAGGGACCATGCTCTAGAGAAAAATGATCCATCTCATGTGGGGTTTTCTTTGAAATCCGAGTGTCCATGTCTAAGGAAGGAGGTCAGGTAAAGTCAGGGTGGGTAGGAGGGAAGTTGCACAATAATGGTTTACTTAGCGGAGCAGTTTGGGAGAACTGGCCTCGGCCAAAGTCAAACACAACACCCTCACAGTAGGAAAACAGGATTAACAATGATCAGAAAGACAGCAACAGTCACACCTGGACATCAAGGAGAAGGGACAGGATGGCACTGAGGGCTGGCTTACCTCAAGACTCAAGAAGCAGATGCTGCAAACCTGAAAACCATGAGCATGGCCCTATCCAGTTCAGAAATTAAGATCTGCTACTTCTGTTCAACACATGTCCAGCCTCAACCTCCTCTCCCTCAGGCTGGAGCTATGCACATTGAAGGCCATGCTTGGTTATACACTCCCACTCAGCCAGGACCAAAGAACTTGGAAAGCCTGTCCCTCTCCTCTGCTAGGCATGGGCATAATTCCATTCCAGCTCTGCTGCCACAGTCAGAATCAGCAACTCATCTAGATACCAGTTTGAGAACCAAAGGGAGGGGATGAGGTCACCTGGTAACTTATAATCAACAGTCCAAACTTCCACTCATATCTGACTCAGGCATCAGTGGGAGTGTCTGAGCACCTTGAGCCAAAGAAGCCCACCAAAATGCCAGGGCTGGCAGAGGTCCTGCTCCCAGAGCACTGCATGCCGGGTCAAACTGAGTGAAAATCCTGCTGCCCGCGAGGTAAAGGCCTCTCAGGCCATTCTTTGCTTTCGTCAGCTCACATTTCTGTGCTTTTCAGGGATCCACGGCCCCCAGGAACCAGCAATGCCAAGGGCCATGTGACCAGACAGGGTTATAGCCTCTTGCAGGTGGGCATCCGCCTACGAGGAGCTTCCTGAACCAAGCCTGGAAGGTGGGCAGCCCCCACCGGATAGCTGGATTGAGGAGGCAGGTTTGGGCCCTGCAAAGAAGCACCTCCAAGTCCAACAGTGGATCCCTGGAAGACACAGATCCTGAACGGAGGCATAAGAAGGGCCTAGAGCCAAGAGCTGCAGAGAGTGGGGAAGAAAAAGACCTGGCCCTGAAGCCAAAGCCCTTGTCTGGCAATGGTGGAGGCCTCCAGGCTCTCACAGTGAGGCAGGGAAGAACAGGTTACCCCAAGTGGGGCCCCTGACCAATCTGCCTGGGGAACAACACCCCACAGAATGGGATTTTAGGGATAGGTGGGTGATAGGATTCCCAACCCACAAGGCAGGCCACTTGGGTGGCCTAGCCAAGGCCCCAAATGAAGTTTGTAGGAACAAAGCTGAGGCCAGGAGGAAGACAGCAAGGGACAGGTAGGACACAGCCCTGTGGGCACCCACAGTGACTCCCTGTCCCTGCAGCACCACCACCTAGGACCAGAGGTGGTGGATATGGAAGCAGCGTGGGGGGCCCTAGACAGCTCCGAATTTCACTCACTCTGCCCCTGTACCAACCCAAGCCCTAGACCCACATGGGAAGCCAAGGCTCAGGGGGACCGAGTGGCAGAGGAATGGAACACGGGCAGAAGAATGTGAGCTGGCAGGCAGTCCCCTACACTCCAATGGAGTAAGTTCTGCCTGGGACCCCAGCCCAACCCAGGTCCAGCAAGTCAGCAGAAGCAAAACCACAACAAAATCCAAAAAACAAACACACACACACACACACACAAAAACCCACACACAGGGACAGCCACAGGTCAAAGGTCACCAGAAGCACCAGCACTTTACGGCTGCACAAAACCTCACCAGGCACGGACAACACCACGGCACCGGCAAGACGGAAGCAGGAAGGGCAAAGGAGTAAGTCACTTTCGGTACAATTGCAAAAGAGATATCAAAGAGGACGGCCTCTGGTCGGCTCGCAGCGCGGCTTTTTTTTTTCTTTTTCTTTTTTTAAACTAAGTTTTATAAGTAATGTCTGTTAACTCTGTGTATAAAAACTAAACTCCAACAGCCACAGAGCTGTCCCAAGTTTACAAGAAAGGGATTTTTTTTTTTTAACTAGCAAAGTTTCTACTATACCTTCTTCCCTTTTCCATTTATACAGTCAAATGTTGTTTTTTTTTAAGACAATTTTATAAATACTCTGCAGCTTTTTTCCTTTTTAGCTCTTAAACATATAATTTAATAACTTCGTAAAAGGAACTTTTCTTTTAAATAAAGGGCTATATAACCACACAAATAGGTCATGTAAACAGTGACACCGGACCCATCGCAGGACACACTGACACACCTTCCACCCACACTTATAACCGGCGATTTGGTCTTATCCAGTGCACTGTGCCAGGCTCCAGCACCATGGTTCCTGCCCCAGTGCCCAGGCTGGTGGCCTATCCATCCAGGGCCTTCGAGACAGAACCACTTTTCGGGCAGAGCCCGTCTCTTCCTTTCTGGATCAAGCTGAGAGGCCCACTGGAATCTGAAGAGAAAGCTCTCAAGTCCCACTGCAGACTGGCAGCCTGCAGGGCCTGCAGACCACCAGAGAGAAAGGCAGACCTAAGCCCAGTGCACTCCTGTCCATTCCCACAGTGCCCACTCTGGACTCCTAGCCTGCATGGCCTTGGTACAAAGGGGTTAGAGGCAACCCAACATCACTGTTGAACTGACCAATCCCAACGTACAAAACACACGCGTGACGACAAGGATGATATCAAAGGGGCTCAGCCCAACGCCCCTGGGTGCAGGTTGTGCTTTGCAGGGGAGGGAAGGGGGAAGGAAGAGGAGAAGAGACAGGAAAAGGAAAGGAAGAGGGACAGGGCTGCCAACTTTGCCACGCACTTAGTGGCCCCTTAAAGACCTGCCTGGCGATTGCACGTGTCCCTACGACCGAGCATCTGTCTTGGACTTCACTATTGTGATGACGCTGGTGGCAGCCACCTTGCCAGGGACCAAGGGCCCCAGGCCAGCAGCAAGGGGACCTCGAGCTGGGGCCACAGGGCTTCGGGCCACGGTCCTGGCAAAGTTCTGCAGGGCCTCATACTTGGAGCGCAGAGCATCAAGCTCCAGCTTCATGCTGGCATTTTCAGAGGCCAGCTTCTCCACCTCCTGCTGCAGCTCCGCCTTCTGCTTCTCCAGCTCCTCCTTCTGTGTCACCCGCTTCACCCGACAGCTGGCTGCGTAACCGCGGTTCTTCAGCGTGCGACGGCGCTGCTTCAGTTGGATGATCTCTTCCTTGGATAGGCCTCGCAGGTGCTGGTTCAACTCTCGCACCGACATGGTCACCAGCTCCTCATCAGTCAAGCTGGTGCCATTCTCGCCTGGCTCCCGCTTCACCTGGAGTAGAATAGCACATGGTCACAGCAGAGCTGGAAGGAATGCTGTCCTTCCATGTCACCCCCCGTCACACCCCACCCCCGTCACACCCCAAACCCAGCTTCTTCACTCACCTTTAAGGCCTTGTTTCCTTTATTGGGGGTCGTCATAACCCGGGGGCACAATGAGCAGGCACTCTACAAGACACAGAGCAGAGGTCAGGACCCTGTAGACTCCTTTTACACCCCAACAGGAATCTTGCTGTCCAGGGCTCAGCCCACAGAACCTTGCCCCACACCTGACCTGAGGTCAGCCCTTGCTTGCACCTTGCTTAGCCTGAGCTGGACTGCTTCAGCAGGCCCTTTCCCCCAGAGAGCCAGGTGGGAGAGCAGGAGGTTCTACCCAGGGAAGAACCAGCGATGTGAAGGCCGAAGACAAAGGGAGCAGCAAGAGATTAGAAGGTCTGGGCTGCAGGAGGGGCAAGCCTAGAAGGAAGCTGAGCTTTAAAAATAACCCCAGTGCTGCCCCAGAGCACACTGTTCCTGGCGAGTCACGCTGACTCAGCATATCGCCTCCCTCTCTTCCTGAGCTGTTCTCCCATTCCTGAGGCCAGCCAACAGTTCCCCAGGAGACCCACTACTGGGACCAACAGCAGGCAAGGGTCAGTCAGGGACCCTGTATTCCTGGATCCTACTTCCCATATATGTTTCCCTAAGCTGACCAGAGACAAAAGAAAGCCCTTTCTCCTTCGAAGACTTAGGAAGTTGCTTCCTGCCTCATTTTGGCAGAGGACCAACCAGGTCTGCTCTAACTGCGCTTACTGGGAATCCTCTCACCTTCTAGGTAGCAGGCAATCCAGCTGGGAGTAGCTGAGCCCCGGCCCCTCCAGTCCTCCCTGTCCACCTCCTTTACAGATGGGGTAACCATCCTGTGGCTTGGTTGCAGCATCCTGTGCTCCCGCCCCACCCGACACTGGGTGTTTCACAAGGGCCCCCACAATTAGCAGAGAAAGGGCACTGTTAGCTGGAAGGAGGCAAGAGCCAGCCCCTTTGGGTCACTGGCTAGTCTCTGGCCCTCTGCCTAGGGTCAGTGACCACAGGGCCAGAAAACAAAAGCAAAACAGCTACCTCCTACGGTCAGCCACCCCTCTGGCACACAGTCTCATTTTCAGCTTTCTAAAGCCTTGCCAAGGACATTTTTTGTAGACCCAGGCTGGGAATCCCCACTTAGCCCAGCACCTATCAGTCCCATGGGTAAAGATGCCTCCTCCTCTCTCCAGGTTAGATGCAGGGGAATGGAAGGAATGGCAGGTGAGGTTGCTGCAGCCTCTTTCAGAGGAGGCTGAAGGCTGTAAGCACTTCAGGCAACAATGTGCTGGAGGTGGGGGGTGCTTATTACACTTCTCGAGGGAACTAAAGTGTGAGCCAGGGAGGTAGAGGCACAAGTTCTCTTGAGTAGAGACCCTACCACTCTTAACCTCGTACAGGAGGTGTGGCTACATGCAAACACCAAGCACAGACTCGAGACACTTCTCCAGGACCAGATTAAGGGCATTTTCAGAGGCAAGGGTCCTGCTAGATCAAAGAGAAAGACAAGAGTCAGAACGAGAGGTCTGAAGGGATCTGCCTTCCTTACAAATTGGCCCCAGACTCATACCAGGTGCACAAGTCGAGGCAGCCCCAGCAGGAGCTTCCCTCACACAGACTGCTGAGCTCAAAACGGTGACTTCCTGAGACTGCACAGAAAAGTGCAGCGTGTGGTGGCTGGGAGCTGAAAAGTGCCTCCTCAACAGATTTTACCCTCTACTGAAGGCCTGAACTCAGCACAAGTACAGCCAATTGCCTCCTGATCAAAGGTGTGTGTGTGTGTGTGTGTGCGTGCGTGCGTGCGTGCGCGCGCGCCCGCAAACGTGCATGTGTATACTCATATGTATGCTTAACCAGGAAGAGCAGGTCTCAGCAAAGCCAGTGCTTCCAGCTGCCTGCCTGGCTTCTACCAACCTAGGGTCACAGAGTGAGTAGGCAGACAGTTTTGGAGGACAGCTGTGCTGAGGGATAGATAGTTCAGAGCCTGAGGAAGAAGCTCAGGGAAGCTAATCAAGATGAGCTGTCCCCCCAACCCCGCCCTCCTCCAAATACTGACAGCTATGGATAATCACAAGGCACCAAGGGACTCGGGGCCACCCACTCAGACTGACAAGAAAGAAAAGGTTTGGGCATCTCAGGGGTCACTCAGAAGGAAAGCCTCCTTCCCAGACAAGCTGGCTCGGCCCACCTAAGTCCTCTCACATTAGACAATCTGGACGTTAGTCTCAAGCAAGTCAGTGACCCTTGCTCAACCTTGCCTTCAAACTCCAGTGCAGGAGACCCTGACTTTGGTCTCCCCTCCTTCAGATACTGACATTAGCTGAAAAGAACTTAAAACTTTATGTTCACAGAAGCATAGTAACTCCAAAGCTTAAACACCTTTCTGGGATCTTGAATTTTCATAGGGCATAAAGTTCCACTCCCACTTGGCACCTACAAGCAAGTGTAGTTAAGTGTTGAGGGGACACCATTAAGCACAAACCACAAGGTCTGCTGAAGTTAGTCATGAAACCCGGAAAGGAAAGCAATGCAGAATAGAGCTCAGGAACCTTTACAACAGAGAAGTCAACAAATATCCATTCAGCCATGCAAAGGTGGAGGCCACACCCCACACAGGCTGTCACTTCCCGACACCCAACAGGGCACACTTTTGCCAACTTCAGGCAACAGTGGGACTCCCAACTCTTCTGACAGGGATAACGTAGAGGTACATGAGAACTACATTCTCCACTCCAGGCTCGCGCCTACCTAGATCCACCCTTTTCCTTCCATTAGCTGGTGGAGCTGCCCCAGCTTCCTTCAAGCCACACACACCCTTCTCCCCTGGCTCCCGGTCTCTTCCGTCCAGGGCCGACGCAGCCCGGCCAGCCAGGGGTCACTCAGAAGGAAAGCCTCCTTCCCAGACAAGCTGGCTCGGCCCACCTAAGCTCCACCCCTCGGCGTACTCCGATCTGTCTCCCAGTTTGGGGAACTGGACCAGGAGAGGGACCTGGACCAGAAGCCCAAGATCCTAGGAGGGATGCGTAAGCCTGGGACTTTACCTTCCACCCTGGGAGAAACCTGCGGCGCGCCCCAGTAAGGATGCCTCCTTGGAGGCCTTTGCCTCCAACTTACGGGTCCGTCAAACTTAAACACGACCCCGGATCCTGGCCCGACCTTCGCCGCCCGGATCTAGCCCTGCCTCCCACTCAGACGGCCCGATAGCGGGCCTGGGCCCCCCGCCCCGGCCCAGCGTCAGCAGGAGCACCAAGTGACCTCATGCTGATGACTCAGCACGTCTCCGCTGGGCTCGCACGCGCGTGGCGAGCCCAAGCCGCTCAGCAGGGTCTCCCCGCCGCCCCTGCCAGCCCGCGCGACCCCGCCCGCTCGGAAGCCGACGGACACCTGATGAGTCAGCAGCTTGGAGCAGCCACCCCGCTGACCCAGGCGGACGCGCGGACCTCGCCCTTAGATCGCGCCCCCCGCGGGGCACCCGGGGTCCGTCGCGCGCACGCCCGCTCCCAGCCTCGCCCGCGCCCGGCCCACCAGCTCTGGGGTGGCACCGGCGAACGGCCGGCTCCCGACTGGCGGAGAAACCGAGGCACGCGCCCCCGTCGGGTGCGCCGCAACCCCGAGGCCAGGCCCCGCCGCCCGCCCCAGCCCCGCGCACTCACCACACTGCGGGCCCGGGCGGGCCAAGGCGGGGCTGGGGCGGGGCCGCGCGCGCGCGCTCCAAGGCTGCGCGGGGCTGGGGCGGGCGTGCAGGGTCCGGGCCGGGGGCTTGGGGGGACTGGCCGCTTGCGCGGGCCGGGCCAAGCGCGCTAGGAAGGCCGGGCCGGACCGGGCTCAGAATCCGCCGCCGCCGCCGCCGCTCCTCAGACGTCACATGATGTTTGGTCACGTGGGTTCCATTCATGAAGCGGCGACGCGGCTGGCCTAAGCTTAAAGGGAAAGGCACGGCGACTGCTAGGCGAGCGCGCCCCCAGCACGCCTGCGCAGCCCCGCGCCGTCGTCCTTGGCAACCCACCGCGCCCAGGCGACGTCTCGCGGGACTAGTCGCGGCGCTCACCCGGTCGACCGTGCTCCTGCCGGGTCAGGTTCTGAGTGTATTTGCTTTTTTCGCGGACGTGGGCCCTGATGGAAGAAGCTCCCTCCAGACCTCCTCCATGCTAACTCGGGCCGAGGTCTGTGGGACAGAACTTGCATGGGTATTTTCGGTTTTGTTTGTTTCGCTTTTGTTTTTTCACTTGGATACAGCGCACACAGACTGGCTCTGAATTCCCGGCGATACTCCTGCCTCTGCCTCCCGAGAGCTGGAATCTAGATGAGCGCCACCACGCGGGGCCCTGGTTGCTGTTTTGATGATGTGACACAGTGGTGTAATTTCTTACCCCATTCTGCTGCAATGTCCTCTCATTTTAAATGGGTCAGAGAGCTGAAAAGGACGGGGCTGTTGAGGGGCACAGCCCAGACAGACCCCAGCCCACGCTCCCAAAATGCCCAAGATGGCACTAGGCCTCGGAGGATGCTCACTAGGGACTTCACCTGCAGCTGTGGAGCATCTCTTGGAGTAGTATGCATGCACTGCAATTTTAAGAGTTGTGCACACGGCGGGGCGGTGGTGGCGCACGCCTTTAATCCCAGCACTCGGGAGGCAGAGGCAGGCGGATCTCTGTGAGTTCGAGGCCAGCCTGGTCTCCAAAGTGAGTTCCAGGAAAGGCTCAAAGCTACACAGAGAAACCCTGTCAAAAAAGAGTTGTGCACACACACACCCCTTTTCTGACACATCTAAAACTACTTCCAGTGCATTCTGCTGCTACTCTTTCTGTGAGGAAACTTCCTGCTGCTGTTGAAAACTCTGAGAATGAAGTGAAAAGAAGGAAAATGGAAGAGATCAAGTTTTCATTTCCAGTTTCAGAACTTTCTCCTCGGCCTTCCCTTCTCAGGTGTAAAGCCAGGAAAGGTGACTCATCCTGAAGTGTTGGTGACAAGGGGAAAGGGGCGAGCAGGCAGGCTGGGGATGGGTTTGTGTGTGTTCTTTGTGATTCTCTGCCGCCAAGTAAAGGATGAAGGTGTGACCGAAGCTAACCCAGGATCCTCCATTCTACCAGCTTCCAGGAACTTTTTTTGGAATCCCACACCTCAGTTTATTGTCACCATCTGTCCTGTAGGGCTAAAGGTAGTTCTTAACATTGTATTTCTTTGGCAAGTGTGTAGGGGGTCTTTATTTCTCACTGGGTGTAACTAGAGTCTCAGAATACAGGGCTAATGTGGGCGTTGATTTACTCCTTATGCCCTGAAGGTTTCTGTTATTTATCTTCATCCTTCTTCCCTCTATTTTTTGTTGTAGCTGTGAGATAGGGTCTCGCTCTGTAGCCTAGTCTGGCTTAAGCTCAGCAGCAACCCACTTGCTTCAGCCTCCCAGTGCTGGGATTATAGGCATGAGCTTCCCTGACCTCCTTGTTACTGTCTTTATTTATGAGGATGAATCTTACTCTGTTGCTCAGAGTAGCTTCAAACTCCTAGACTCAAGAGTAACTGGGACTTGCTGGGTGGTGGTGGCACACGCCTTTAATCTCAGCACTTGGGAGGCAGAGACAGGTGGATCTCTGAGTTTGAGGCCAGCATGGTCTGCAAAGCAAGTTCCATGACAGCCAGGACTACACAGAGAAACCCTGTGTTGAAAAAACAACAACAGGGCTGGAGAGATGGCTCAGAGGTTAAGAGCACTGACTGATCTTCCAGAGGTCCTGAGTTCAATTCCCAGCAACCACATGGTGGCTTACAACCATCTATAATGAGATCTGGTGCCCTCTTCTGGCCGGCAGGCATATATGCAGGCAGAATACTGTATACATAATAAATAAATAAAATCTTTAAAAAAAAAAAAAAGAAAAGAAAAAACAACAACAAAAAGGAACTGGGACTCCAGGCATGCACCATGATGAGCAAGCCCTCAAGCCTGCCCCCTGCAATATTAGGGGTCAAACCCAGGGTATTAGACATGCTAGAGAAATGCTCTATCACTGGACCACACCCACAACAACCAACCCTCAACACACACACACACACACACACACACACACACACACACACACACACGAGCAAATACGTCAGAGGAGAGGCCTGGTGCATCCTTGTGTGCTGTATCTTCATCCTCATCGCTGAGTGCTGCTGGTTCAAGGGAGCCCCTGAGCCACTCCCCCACCCTGCTCAGAGGGACTAGGAGGGTGAATGTAGTATTGGACTATGAAGATACCACCAGCACAAGGGCAACCTGGCAGAACATTCGGTTCACATCAGGACTTGTTGTTTCATTTGCTGTTCCCCGTCCTGGTGCCTCCTGGTCAAGTATCCTTAGGAAGTACATGCTATGGGGTCCTGGGTGTCTACTAAAGGGTGGCATTTGCTGGGCTGATCCCCGTTCATGTTCCCAACCCCCTTACATTGTGGTGTTCACAGCGTTCAGTCTGGCTTTCATTCACACATTAGTCATCTTTCTGAGTCACCTGGACGAAGGTCTTCCACTTTCAGGGAGTCTTGCTCCCCAGTCCTTTCTGGGCATTCATAGAAACCTAGTCTTGGTACAAAGTTTGAGCATGTACACACAGGGCCACAAGTGTCTACAAGAAGAATCAGCGAGGAACTCTTCTGGAGTCCGTGGTGTGGTGGTGTGGAGCTGCTTCATTGGGGTGGAGAGCCCTGGGGTTCGGGGTTAGCCCTGAGGCTGGCGCTACATTCATGCCACTCATCCCAAGGGCCCCATGCAGAGGGGAACACCCCAGGAGGTGACCAATCTCCAGAATCTTCCTCAGAACCGACAGGGTCCTGACATCTATAGAGCAGTGATTAATGTGCCTATATTCATGGAGGGGTGCTGAGGGAAAGTAGAATCCATCTTGAAACAAGCCCTCAGGAGCATATGTGGATCTAACTGGGGCCTGCCATCGGTGAGGGGCAGGGCTGCCTCACCACAGAAGCCTCACCTCCTCAAGAACCCTCCCCTGGCTCCCCACCAGGCTTGGGATACTTGTCCCTGGGAACAGTGGTGGAGAATGGAGGAGCTGGAGTCTTAGCGAGCAGAGAGGCTTCGTAGGCTCATCGCATGAGTCGTGCAGACAAGGCTCTCTTTTGCAGAGTGGCACTGAAAGAAGCAAAGTTTCCAGGCCACCCCTCTGCCACACAGCATCAGTACAGCCAGTGCTTGGGCCGTGGCTCAAACCTTCTGGTCCCCCATGCCTCCTGGCGCCGTTTCTTACCACAGCTGGCTATGTCTTCCAACCCTCTCAGCTGTCTGAGCCAGCCTTGGTTCTGAACTGTTCATGGGAGAAGAAGGAGAGAGATACTGATGTGCAGCCTCCGAAGACCTCTTTCCTCTGACCTGCTCTCTGCTGCACAGGAAGCTTTTGGCTCACCTGTGTTCGCTCTTCTGCAGTCAACTCTCAGGCTCCCTGAAGGCTTGTTTAGATAACCTTTTGAGGTGGGGACCTCATCGTCCTGTCTCCATGCTCAGTGATTTCTTTTTTTTTTTTTTTTTTTTTTTTTTTTGGTTTTTTCGAGACAGGGTTTCTCTGTGTAGCTTTGCGCCTGTCCTGGAACTCACTTGGTAGCCCAGGCTGGCCTCGAACTCACAGAGATCCGCCTGGCTCTGCCTCCCGAGTGCTGGGATTAAAGGCGTGCGCCACCACCGCCCGGCTTTGCTCAGTGATTTCTAACTAAAGAAACATCAGACCATAAAAAGGTCTGTTGTGCTGGGTGGTGGCGCACACCTTTAACCTCAGCACTCGGGAGGCAGAGGCAGGCGGATCTCTGTGAGTTCAAGGCCAGCCTGGGCTTAAGAGTGAGTTCCAGGAAAGGCACAAAGCTACACAGAAAAACCATGTCTCGAAAAACCGATATATATATATATGTGTGTGTGTATATATATACACACACACATATTTTTTTTCAATTTTTTATGAGCATGAGTGTTTGCCCACATATATGTATGTGCACCTCATGTGTACCTGGTGCCCTTGGAGGCCAGTAAAGGACATTGAATACCATGGAACTGGAGTTAAAAATAGTTGTGAGCTTCATGTAGGTGCTGGGAACTGAGCTCGGATCTTCTGAAGGATGAATGCCACTGCCCTCTACCCTGTCCTCTGGGACTTGTAGAGAGGAGGACACTCCAGGAGGTGACCCAGACTTCCTCTTATCTGCTGAGTTATCTCTCTATCCTTAAAATGCTGTTCTTAACATCAAAGTCTACTAATTTATTATCTATCTATCTATCTATTTATTTTTGGTTTTTCGAGACAGGGTTTCTCTGTGTAGCCTTGGCTGTCCTGGAACTCAATCTATAGACCAGGCTGCCTCAGACTCACAGAGATCCACCTGCCTCTGCCTCCCAAGTGCTAAGGTTAAAGGTGTGTGCCACCACCGCCCAGCCAAGTCTACTAATTTAGATGTGTTTTTGTTTGCTTGTTCGTTCAGTAATTCAAACATTAATATTGTATGAAAATACTTAGGCTGGGCAGTGGTGGCACACTCGAGAGGTAGAGGCAGGCGGATCTCTGTGAGTTCGAGGCCAGCCTGGTCTACAGAGCGAGTTCCAGGACAGGCTCCAAAGCTACACAAAGAAACTCTGTCTCGAAAAGAAAAAAGAAAAAAAGAAAAAGAAAATACTTAGAATGTCTGCCCTCCCTGTAGCATAGTCAAGGGAACACTCACACACACACAAGTATACACACACACACACACACACACACACACAGTGTCAGCCCTCATGTATCAGCTTTTAGAGTTGTAGCAGCAACAGGTTTTTGTTTTGTTTTGGAGACAGGGTTTTTCTGTTTATCCCTGACTGTCCTGGAACTTGCTCTGTAGATCAGGCTGGCCTCAAACTCAGAGATCTACGTCTCTCTGCCTTCTGAGTGATGAGATTAGATTAAAGGCGTGCGCTTCTACCACCTGGCATTTTTTTTCTGTTCCCTGCCCCCCAGAGATAGGGTTTCCCTATGTAGCAGCCCTGACTGTCCTGGAACTTGCTTTGTAGACCAGGCTACCCTTGAACTCACAGAGATCTGCCTGCCTCTGCCTCCCAAGTGTTTCAGTGAATGCTTCTAATCCCAGTACTCAGGAGGTAGCGGCTCCTTACTGTTTCTATGCATATGTCTGTCACTTTGATTCTGTCCATCTGGAAAATTCTGATACTTCCTTCAAAGGTTTTCTCCTCACCAGGAACGTGGCCTTGCACAGCCTGGATCCACCAGCAAGTCATCTCCCCCTGGCAAGCTACAGGGATGGGGCAGAAGAGGATGGTGCCCCTCACCAACTCAGTGTGCCAAGCCCTGTTATGGTGCCAGCCTTCAGGCAGGTTTGTTATGATAGAGGCAATGAAGCTCTGTAGCCCTCTGCTCTATGGGGGACCTTCAGCCTGGCTGTAGCCAGCTTGATGGGACCTGTGTTACTGGCTCCTCCCTCAGTATTTTGATCCCCTGTCCAAGCAAGCTTCTCTCCACAGGTGACAAATAGGTAAATGGGAACATTTGGGAAATTTTTTTTTATTCAACTGAAAGGATAGGAAGAGAAGTAACAGTATTTGGTGAGTTAGTTCAGGAACAAGCTAAGGTTTCATGAGCTACCTGAGAAGTCCCTTTCCCAAATGTCTAGTGGGATCCTTGGTAGAAGATGAAGTCCTTAGAAGGAGGTACAGAATGTCTGGGACTAGGTGGTCTTCACAGAAAGGACAGGCAACCACATGTGAGTAGATCACAGGAAGGGGGCCACCCAAAGTTGGCTAGCCTTGGAGCTAGGGAGGATGAAGACACCATAGGCCTACGCTCCAGAGGAAGCGGTGGAGATCCCTGCTTGTAAGTGATCTTCCCCTTCCTGGCTGACCCGGCTATGGGCAAGGGCCTGCTATGGGGATATTCTGTGTGGTTTTGAGCTAGAGAGCCCAGAGCAGAAACTTCAGGCAAGGAGAGAAGAACGTGAAGAATTGAGTCAGCCAGGTGGTGTGCACTTGAGGGGCTGACATGGTAGCATGCCCTGAGCTGAGAAGTTTGAGTCTTGTCTAGGCAACATATCAAGCCACCATCTTAAAAGAAAAAAGGAGCCTGGCATGTTGACACTCACCCATAATCCCAGAATTTGGGAAACTAGAGTGGAGGATTAAGAGTTCAAAGCTAACTTGGACTACATAGCAAAACTCTGCTTAAACAACAACAACAACAACAAAGAAAAACAAACAAACTGTGAGTTCGAGGCCAGTCTGGTCTGCAGATCGAGTTCTAAGCCAGGGCTACACAGAGAAACCCTGTCTCAAAAAGAGAGGGGTGGGGGAGAAAGCAGAGAGCAGGAGGAAGATGGGCAGATGGATCATTCCTTGCCTGCTGGGGCCAGGCTGCAGGGCAGTGGCTTAAAATGGCCAGAAGACAGGGAGGCCCCAGCAGAGGAGTCCAGTTTCACCTTGTCCAGGACAGTCTTTTTGATGGCAGCAGGGGAGACAGTTTCCTGATCAGCCATGGTCTGCAGCTCCCTGGAAAAGCAATGAGACACTAGGTCTGAGTTTCTCCTTCTCCCAGAACCCACAGTTCCAATAGCAGCTATGGTGGGCAGTGCTACAGCAGCACCCCAGCACCCCATCTCTGGGCCTTTTACACTTGCGGTCCTCCTGTCTTTTTTTTTTTTTTTTTTTTTTCCGAGACAGGGTTTCTCTGTGTAGTTCTGGTGCCTGTTCTGGATCTCACTCTGTAGACCAGGCTGGTCTCAAACTCACAGAGATCCTCCTGGCTCTGCCTCCTGAGTGCTGGGATTAAAGGCATGCACCCCCCCACCCCCCCCACCCCCGTCTATTATACAGCAGCACAGCCACTTCTCACACCATTTAGAGTGACTCAGGGTCACCCTGGCTACAATATCAACAACATCAAGACGGCTCAGCACTCCTAGCCCTGAACTCTTCACTGCTCAACTTGTGGCAGGATCTTGCTTCTCCTGTTTCCTTTATGGGCCATGCTAGGTGGCTAGGTCCCATGTCCAAGCCTTGCTGTGGCCCTTGGACTTCTCTAGGCATTTGTGCTAGAGGGTGGACAATGGCAAGAAAGATACTGTTGGCTGACTCTGTGGACATGAGCCTGGGACAGTGATTCCCAGCCTCGGCTTTGCCTTACAACTGAGGGAACCTAGGCATGTTTCACTCAACTCTCACCAGGCTATCTTGCTGCCAACATGCTGCCAGCTTAACTAACTCACTTAACTTGGGAAAGGTCATGAAGAAGGTGCTGGACCAGGCTCCCTAAACTGCCCAGCCACCCTTCTAGCCTGGCTCCATGACTATGATGGTGAAACTGAATGGAGGCTGTATTGCAGGACCAGAGAAGGTCTACAGACACACGAGGATACCTCTTCTCACAGAACAATGGAAGGGAGCTAGAGGCATTGCATATTGTGACCCAAGGAACCTTGAAACTTCTACACTCATGCTCAGGGCCAGGACAGGGCTCAATGGTATCTGCTAAGTGAGTAACTGCACTGAAGCCTTTGAAGCCAGGATTCTGTAGGAAGCAGGTGGCTGGGGAGTGGGTGACAGCAGGACCTACCGAGTGCGGATGCAGGAGGCCTCCACAGCATTGATAAGCAGTGAGCGAAAGCCCCCACTCTCCAGCACATGCAAGGCATGGATGGTGGCCCCACCAGGAGAGCAGACATTGTCCTTGAGCTGTCCTGGATGCTGTTCTGAGTCGAGTAGCATCTTAGCTGCCCCCTGTGACAAGAAAGAGGAACTGATGGCAGTAGGGCACCTAATTACCTGCTCTATAGAGTCCCCAGCCACCTAAGTACCTGCTGATGCCCCACTCACATGTCCCCAGGACACCAATTTTGGGTTTAGCAAGGAACAGCTGCCACAGGTATCTCAAAACACTGACCAGGAGGGCCTGGGCCCCCAGGCGGACAGCCAGGCGTCTTGGAAGTCCCATTTTCACACCACCATCAGCAAGAGCATCCAGGGCTGTGAAAGCCTGTGGGGAGAATGCGTGCTCAGCCACTGTCCTACCCTCTCCTCTGGGACCCAGCGTAGAGGGCAGCAGAAACAGGTGCATAGAGGCCCCGGGAACTGCCCATAGCCCTGACCACCACCCGGCACTCCAGTTCTCACATAGGCGGGGCCGCTGCCACTGAGCCCCGTGACAGCGTCAATCAGATCTTCCTCCACCTCCGTGCAGAAACCCACACTGCACATGAGCTGCTCCACGAGCCTGCCATCCTCCACCTGAGCATGAGTGCCTGTGGCATACACAGTAACACCCTCCCGCACTATGACCGGGGTGTTGGTCATACAGCGGATGACTTTGGGAGCTGGCTGGAATGTTGTCAGCTTCTGGAAAAGAAACCAGCTCTATGACTCTGGCCTTGGCCATTTGTCCTCACCCCAGGCATGAGGTGAGTATGGACCTGCTTGCTTCCCCAACTGAGCACTTCCTGGGTTCTTGCTGGGCTGCTGTACCCAGGTAAAGAAGCCTGATACCCAGAGCAGAGCCCCCGACCACATGTTCCACGCCCCCATCCCTCGGAAGCCCTATTGATCTGGCCCATGACACCCACCTTTTCAATGGAGTTGATGGTGACACCCGCCGCACAGGACACCACAATGTGTCTGTCCTCAATGTTAGCACCAATTTCATCCAGGATGAAGGGGATGATGTGTGGCTTCACAGCCAGGAAGAGCACATCACTGTGGCGCACTGTCTCTTTGTTATGAGATGTCAGGTTCACCCCTATCTTCTGCAGGAGTGCAAGGGGACTCAGCTTGCCTCATGGGGGGTATGCCCACAAAGCTGAGAAGCCTTGTGTGCAGAGAAGCCCAGAGGCTGCTGGCTGTGGTGCAGGCTGGGTTGGGAGTCAAAAACCACTCAGCTGTCCTTCCCCAGAAATGGAAAGAGCACTATGCCCTGGAATGTGTCCCCTTTGGAACAGAAAAGGGACATCACAGCCTTCTAAACCACAGCCCAGCTCATCCTACCTGAGGGTCTCATGACTGCAGTCTCTGCAGCTGCCTGCCTTCTGGAGGCGGATGGTGGTCTCAAGCTGGGAGCCTGACCCCCACATCTTTGTCCCGAAATCCCGACTGAGCCATAGCAAACAGAAGTTGTAGTTACCACCACCCCTGGCCCACTGTCTGGGCTCAATGCTGCCTAGCCTTCCGGAGGGCTCCTTTAACCCATTCACACCCATTAACACCCTCTCCTACCAGCTGTATTCATGACAGGGCAGGGAGGCAGCATCTGGAGATCCTTATGGCAGGTTTGCTTGCCCACTGGAGTAGGGGCTACAGCTGCTCTCCACCCTGGCCCTCAGTCGGGTGTGTTGCACACTTAACCCCAGACTTCCTATCTGCTTCCACCTGGCACCTACCCGGAGGGCAGAGACCGTGGCTTGGTCCATGTCTGGGGAGCTGGCCATTATCTTGTGAGCAGCCAGAACACCTGCAAGGGACAAAGTTCCTCCCTCAAAACTAGTTCTATCCTCTCTGCCCCACATTGCTAGGAAGGAGACAGCAGAGAAACATTCCTCACCCCCTTTAGGACAGCAACTCCAAACATATGGCAGCTGCCATTTCCCAAAGGACTGAGGCCACTAACCCAGACACTCTATGTTAGCACCCTCCCCGGCCCTAGAGGAATCTACCTGCTGCTGTGAAGCCCTTGGCTAGGGCAAAAGCCAGCTGCCCTGCCCCGATGAAACCCACGCTCATGTCCAGAGGTCCAGCACCCACAGCTTTCACAGCTGGCTCCGGCTCTGCAGGGCAGCTGCAAACTGGACCAACAGAATGGAAAGCAAGAGATTGGGTGGGTAGTACCGAGTCTGGCAGCTCCTGGCAGCCAGGTGCTCCCCCACCCCCATACCCGCCTGCCTAATTTCTATGTTGCTTCTCGGCTAGCCGGGCTGAGAAGTTGTCTCAGTTCCCCAACACCCCAAAACACAACCACCTGCTGCCCAGAACCAGGATGCCTGGCCTGGAGCCGCAAGGGAAGCGACTGATTGTAAGGAAGGGCTCGGAATCAAGAATACCCTCAACATCCAAGTCCCCCGTCCGCCTTCAGCTTGGGTCCCAGTCCTATCTCCGAAGCCTTCATTACAGAAGTCCCATCCCCGGAGCCAGGAGTCCCACAACACCCAGTGTAGCTACCTGGGCTCAGCTACACCCGCGAGGGCCCAGCCCTCTGCCTCTGCCACGCGGCACCCACGCCCACCGGCCCCGCCCCCACTCCACTTCAGCCAATGCAAGGTGCGGCCTCCGGGAGCTAGCCAATCAAGAGCTGCAACTGGAGCCTTTTCATTGCATCATCCACGGGGCCAGGACAGACACGCCTCTCTGCTCCCTCCCAGAGGTGGATGGTAGTAGCGAATACAAATCAGTACCTCCAAAGCCACGAATCCTCCCCTCTTATCTCAGTGCAAGTGTTCATTCGAAAGCTAGGCACCTTCTGCAGCCACAGGCCCATTACTTCCCGAACCTCCTCCATCCTACAGTGCTCCAGTTCTCTAACCATGGGTTTTAGGAATAATGGGCTCTGGGCATCCGCAACCCCCAGAGGTGCTCAGGCCCTATCTGCTGGTCTGGTAACTGCAGAGCAGTCTGAGGTCCCCCAGACTTCACTCGACCAAAGTGCGCATGATTCCAGCGCCTGTGTCTCCCACTCCCTTCAGAGGTTGCTTGCTTATTTTTTTCCCATCGTGTTTTTGCCTTAGATAAAGACAAGCTGCTTTAGAGAGTAATTTCAAAAATCATTAGGAAGCTTCTAGCCTGCAAGGTTTGGATTTTCGTCCCTTCTCCTTGATCGTAACGACCACCACCCAAACTAGGAGACTACTCCACGGTAATGTCTGGACGGCCAATTTGGTACTTACCCTCTAAGAAAAAGGCTGGGACACCTGTGCCAAGCTGACAGTTCAAACCTATGCACAAAACCTAGAAGTTCGGTTTCCCAAACTCAGCTCTCTATTTCAGATACTTTCCAGGGTTGGAGAGATGGCTCAGCACTTAAGAGCATTTGTTGCTCTGGCAGAGGACCTGGATTCTGTTCCCAGCACCCATATGGCAACTAACACCACCCAGAACTCCTTTTGTAGGGGATCTGATGCTTCCTCTGAATTCCTTAGTCACTGGGTATGCAAGGGTGTAACATACATGCGTGCAAAATAGTTGTACACATAAAATAAACTTAAAAAATTTAAAGGGATGCTTTCCTCCAAATGATAATAAGCAACATCCCTAAAACCAAAGAAAAACACTCGTGTAGTCTAGGGAGCCCCAGAAACCTTTCTCCCATTTTCCACTTGAGTCTTCCCCAGGACCTCTGAAACTTAGGTTGGATACGATGCTGGGAGAAGGCCACTGAACAACAAGAACACTGAGGACTTAGAGGCAGATGCATGTTTCAGAGTTTTAGCTAGTAAAAGGATGAAAGGGACCCCCCCCAAAAAAAAAAAACAGTCAACCTTGGTGAGGTATCTCAAGCCTGTAATCCCAGCACTAGGGAAGCTGAGGCAAGGGGATGTCCAGTGGGAGGCCAGCTTGGACTGCATTGTGAAACCCTGTCTCAAAGGGGAAAAAAAGAAAAACGAAAGAGAGGCCGTTGTTAAGTTGTACGGCTCAGTGGGAAAAGAGCTTGCTTCGAAAGCCTAACAACCTGACCACCTGAGTTCTCCTGAACACATATAAGGTAGAAGAACTAAGTCCACAAGGTTTTCTTGTGACCTCCACACATGCACTGTGGTGTCCCCCATCACACATACATCATACATGTATAATACTAATAAATGAGAAAGAAAAGAAAAAGAAACAGTAGGGTCCCTCTCTAGACAGGATGTGCATGGCCGACATATTCCTTTTTTGCTTTGTTCCCTGAAGATGTGGCCTTTTGATGTTCAAAACTTTCATCGTTCAGGGCACCTGCAGACCCAGAAGCTACCTATGCCTACCCATCCAAGTAAATGACATTGGTCCCAACTCAGTTTTTGACTGACCCAAGTGTTCCTTCTCCAGCTAGCCAGCAAGTGCCACACAGTACCATACAAGGCCTGGCTCATGGCTCAGAGTCTAAATGTTGTCAGTTCCACTGCCCAGAGGGCAGCAGCCTCTCTCCCTGTGATCTGGGCCCTGAAGACCTCAGTGTGGGGCTTTGGATGGCTTTAGGAGCAAAGAGAATGAGCCAAAATTTACTTTTCTTTTCTGCATTCTGCCTTTTGAGCCACCCTGACCTGCTACATTTTCAGAAGGCCCAGACAAGGCCAAGCCTTGTCCTTATCCCAGGATCCAGGGCACCCCCAAGGACACATCCTCCCTCCAATGACCTAGTTTAGACCTTTTCTCAGAGCATGCAATGAGAAGGTAGCTTGTCTGGGTATTCATCAAAGGTAGCAGGCCAGGTGTAAACAAACATTCACCTTTTATTTCCTGCTGGAGGACCTGGGGGACAGTCAGTTAATGGGCTGAAGGGCTTCCCAAGGTTAGTCCAGTCTGGGCTCTTGCATAGGAGAGGCTGAATCAAAAGTGGAGGAGGATGATGCCAACAAGTCCTAGTGTTCAGGAACAACTGGCTAACAAAACGCTTGAGTGGAGGCCCAGTGACCAGACTCCACCGCCCAGTGGCTACCCCAAGATGGCTCTTCACTGTGAGTCAATGCTGCCAACCAAGCCAGCCTGCCAGGACCCATGGTAGGCACTGCAGAAGCGTCTGAGTCACAGTCTGTGTTGGGTGTCTGGGCAGAAGCTCCATCACTGTCATGAGACCATCTTCTTTTCACGGTGATTCTAGTGTTGACCTTTGACACGAGCCCACCTGAGAACCACAGCACAGTCTTTTCTCTGTTTCAAAAGATTGAGACCACTGGGATACTCCCAAACACAGATGAGGTCCATCCTAGTCGCCAGGTTTCTCTACAGACAATCACAACCGTCCCAAGAGAGACTCCTCTCAGGAGGAGGTTCCGGCTCCAGCATTCCTCCCAATGGCCCGACCCTGGTGTTCTTGGCTTGTTTTCCACCCATTTCAACCTCAGGAAACTGCCCGATTTCTAACTGATATTACCCCAGCTAAATGCTATCTCAAGATACCAATACTGGCCCACCTCTGAAGTTCATCTAGCTTCACTAGTACCATCTGCAAAATGAATTACAGCAGCATCTGCTCCAAAAAGTTTCCATTTGGTACAGCGACTAGCACTGAGCCTAAGGATGGCCAGGAAACTGAGAAACAGAGACAAAAAGACAGAGACAGACAGGAAGAGTGGGAGCCCAAAAGCCACCCTCTTCCCTGCTCAGGGCCTCCTGCCCCTCTGTCCTTCCTCTTTGCCTCTCCTATTGCTGCCCGATGTCCAAGAGCAGACTTGCCTGAGCCCCCAACCTCCCTCTTGTTTCCACATGTCTTCGTTCACATTGGTCAGCTTTAGGTGCTCTCAGCCAGAGAGAGGAGATGGATTGGTCAGGCTACAAGGTAGGCACGAAACGGATCCTCTGGGAGTAGGCGAGGTCGACGATGTAAAGGAGCAGGTTGACGTAGGTGAAAATAGCTACCACCAGCTGGCTGTCCCAGGGGCAGCTGCCTCGGCGGCAGTCAGGGGGCCGTCCTGGCTCTCCGTACTTGGGGTCAAAGCAGAAGACCGGCCAGATGACTGCGGCACTGAGGTATAGGAGCACAGCCAGGAAGGTGTACACTACCACTAGGCGGTCAAATGGGCATCCCAGGCCCCCTGTGTGTCCCATCACACTCAGGGCCACCACGGCCACTGTGGCCATGAAGCACAGGCTGTAGACAGCCACGCACCACTGTGTGGCCATGTAACGCCCATAGCGACTGTCATGAACGAGGGCCCCGAAGATGATGCAGGCCACAAAGGCCTGGACGATCTTAAGGAGTCCAGACACCGTAGCCATATAGCTGGCTACCTGACCCGGCCGTGCCCGTGTCAGGGCCACCTCAGCAGCGTAGGCCAGGAAGAGGAGCCCGGCGAAGACGCTGGCTGCCAGGCGGAAGTTTCTGGCCATGCACCCGGCAGGCTCAGGTGGGCACTCCAGCCGTGTGAAGTACAAAGGGTAGATGACGGCGGCCGTGGCACACAGCAGAGTTGCCAGCATGGCAAAGGCTGCTGTGAAGTTGCCCCAGGAGAGGCGCAGGCAGCTGTGGAGCCTCGTGAACTCACAGGCCACCACCAGGACTGAGAAGGCAAAACAGAAGCCCCAAGCAGCCATGCAGAAAGTGCCCTGGACACCCCCAAAACCACCACGGTGAGCAACCAAACTGAAGGTGGTACAGCCGAAGGCCAGCTGCAGCACTCGGGCTGTCCCTACCGGGGAGGTCACAGCGCCTACGTGCAGGTATGCACCCCCTGGGGGCTCCATGGTGCTGCCCATCAGGCTCTCCACCTCCGAGCCTCACACAGCACCCAGCTGCCCTGGGGGTCTGGCCAGCTGAAAGACCTCTGTCCTCTGCGGCAACAGCAACGGCGGGTGCTGGCGGTCTGCAGTGGCAATGTTAACAGTGACACTGCAGCAGAGCTGCCTCCTTGCTGCTTGTGTTGGGAGCCCTCCCCCCCAGCGCTATAAATAAACAGCCTGATCAGAGCCCCGGAATAGCAGCCTGCATGCTGGTTCCCATTCTGGAGGGACATCTGACCCCTGCATCCCACGAAGATTCCCTGACAGGACTATTAGTTAGTCTCTGGATGCTGGACACCCACCTCCTGCCTCTGAAGCACCTGCATCTGTCAGTCCGGGTCAGTATAGTATGGGGGAGGGGCTGGGTAAGAACAGAGAGCAGCGGCATTCCCCTCGGGGGCCACAGCTAAGCATCAAGCAACCTCTGGGTCCAGCATGCTAAGGAAAGGGTACAGATAGGTGGAGGAACAGCAGGAGACTCTAGGAGGCATAGGAGGGATTCTTTTATTGTTGTGTTGCAGCCCCGGTGTCACCTGGCCTAGCTCAACTCTCCTTTTTTTCTTTCTTCCTTTTTTAGCAAAGCAAAAATAGATTTATTAAGAAAAAAGTGAGAAAGGACTCCTGTCTTCTGGAAGATCTTAAGGAGGGGCTCCAAAGAAGAAACACCACATCAACTCTGCCTTTGTTTTTTTCCATATATTTCATTTATTTTGGAGACAGGGTCTCATGCAGCCCAGGCTAACCTCAAACTCACTAAATAGTTGAGGATGACCTTGAATATTTTTATTAAAATAAAAAAAATCAGATTTACTTATCTTTATTTTTTAATAATTTATTTGTTTTTATTTCAAGTGCTTTGGTGTTTTGCCTGCATGTATGTCTGTGTGAGAGTGCTGGATTCTCTGGAGCTGGAGTTACAGACATTAGTGAGCTGCCATATGGTTGCTGGGAATTGAACCCAGGTCCTCTGGAAGAGCAGCCAGTGATCTTAACCACTGAGCCATCTCTCTAGCCTCTTTTATTTATTTATTTATTTTGCGACAGGGTTTCTCTGTGTAGCTTTGGAGTCTGTCCTACTCTCTTTGTAGACCAGGCTGGCTTCAAACTCACAGAGATCCTTCTGCCTCTGCCTCCCAAGTGCTTGGATTGAAGACATGGGCCACCACCACCCAGCCTTCTCCAGTCCCATTTTATTTTATTTTGTGTGTGATTGTTTTGCCTGTATGTTTGTGCGCCTTTTGTGAGCCTATGGATGATTATAAGCCACATTATAAGTACTGAGAACTGAACCTATGTCCTCTGCAAGAATGCAAATGCCCTTAACCACTGAGCCATCTTTCTAGCACCTGAACTTCTCTTTCTAATATTTATTAATTTGTTTTCTGTGTATAAGTGTTTTGCCTACATGTATGTACGTGTACCACGTGCATGTGTACCACTTAGTCTCAAGATACACTGGGTAGCCTTTTAAGCATGTCTGTCCCGATCTGATCAGGAATGAGGCATTGCTCATGACTACAGTGACTCACTGTGCTTCACCCCAGAGTGGGAGGGACACTCCCTTATTTTGTACCTTGTGACTATTGTGAGATATTCACCAGAGGAGACTGCTCAGACATGGGTTTAAGCCAATAGAAAGTCTTTATTGGTTGGACGGCAACTATACTGGGTGTTCAGGATCCCAGTGTAGCCCTGAGCCTTTCTCAGGTTGAGCTTTTAAGCACAAAAACCATGCTCTGGGTTGACATACTTCAGTTAACAAGAACAGTCAGCCAGAATCAGAGCTATGGAAGCTAAAAAGCAAGGTTAGTATAGAGACTTTCCCAGAACTGTGAGCTTTGATGGATCAGGTCTTTGTTTTCATTTTTGGCAGGTGGTGCTGTCTGCATGCATGTCTTACAGTGAGAATGGCACTTCCTTTGTGAAGTCAGTAAAACAAAGATCTGGGGACGACTAAGGTCTGGGGCTGTTACAGGGACACTGATGTTTTCAAGAGTCCAAGCCAAGGGTTTGACGGACTGTCCTTCAGTGAGTGTGTGCCATAGGACTATTTCCCCATGATTCAATTCCAAACTAAAAGCGTCTAGCAGGAGCTGGGCGGTGGTGGCCCACACCTTTAATCCCAGCACTTGGAAGGCAGAAGCAGGTGGATCTCTGTGAGTTTGAGGCCAGTCTGGTCTACAGAGCTAGTTCCAGGACAGTTAGGGCTATTACACGGAGAAACCCAAAGGAGGGAACATCATATGTGACTGAATATCTGAATCACAGAGAGGTCAACTGTAAATGGAGTTTCTCCATCCTGCCCCATTCTGCAGCCGCTTCCTAATAATCACTCAAAATAAAAATCCTAATAATTTATTATAAATGCTTGGCCAATGGCTCAGGCTTATTACTACCTAGCTTTTACATTTAAATTAACCCGTATTTCCTATCTATGCTTTGCCACATGGTTTGTGGCTTGTTACCTCATTTTCTACATGTCCTGCTTCCTTGGTGGCTGGCTGGCATCTTCCCCTACTCTGCCCTTCCTCTTCCCAGAATTCTCCTAGTCTGGCTCTCACCAATCTCTTCCCGCTCAGCTATTGGTCAATCAGCTTTATTATTAACAGTGAGCAAAATCCACAGCAGTCAACCATAAGGATGGATGGGGTATCCTATTTATGTATCCACCTATTGCTCAAACTCCCAGGATTCTTAGCATCATGGACACTTTCCATAGACAGTGTTCTCTGAGAATGGAGACACACTGATCACCAGATCTAAGATACTTGTTCATGAGATATCTAAACACATCATGTGTTACTGAGATGCAGTGTTCACCTAAGTCTTCAGGCCTTTTTTTAAAAAAATGTTTATATATATATGCATATATATGTATATAAAATTTATTAGAGTGGCTGACAGACTAGGATCCAGCTAGCCCAACAATGGCTGTTTACCAATGGAAAGTCTAAGAATCCAGGCTGGATGTCTCAGCTGGTCTTCAGTATATACCAGAATCCTGAAGAAATAATCTCTAAGCCAACTTGCCAGTGAAGAGGGAGGGTAAACAGGCAAGGAGAGTGAGCTTCCTTCCTCTATGTCCTTTATATAGGCTGCCATCAGAAGATATATCCCAGATTAAAGGTGGCTCTTCCCACCTCAAAAGACCTGGATTAAAAGTGGATCTTCCCACTTACAATGATTTAATTAAGAAAAAATTCCCTCACAGGTGTCCTAGCCACTTGAATTTTAGTTAATTCCAGTTGTAGTCAATTTGAAAGCTAAATAGCCATCACAATTCATGTACGTGCAGCCACCTTAGAAGTGAGAAGGGGGCATCAGATTTGGAACTGGAGTAACAGACAGTTATGAGGAGCTGTGTGGGTGCAGGGAATCCAACACTGACTGGTCCTCTGGAAGAGAAGCCAGTGTTAACTGCTGAACCATCTCTTCAGCCTCTTGTGTGAGATCTCACTAGGCCTTTTCCAACTTTGTTTTTGTTTTGAGACAGGATTTCTCTGTGTATCCCTGATTGTCCTGGAACTTGCTCTGTAAACTAGGCTAGCCTCAAACTCATGGAGATCTGCCTGGCTCTATCTCCAAAGTGGTGGGATTAAAGGCATGTGCCACCACCACCTGGCTATGTATGTGTTTCTTTTTTTTTTAATTTTATTATTTTTATTTTATGTGCATTGGTGTTCTGCCTGTATGTATGTCTGTGTGAGGGTGTCAGATCTTGTAGTTACAGACAGTTGTTAGCTGCCATGTGGGTGCTGGGAATTGAACTCTTGACCTCTGGAAGAGCAGTCAGTGCTCTTAACCGCTGAGCCATCTCTCTAGTCCCGTATGTGTTTCTTTATGTGAGTGTGTACATGTGGGTAAGGGTGCCTACAAGTCCAGAAGAAAGCATTGGATCCCCTGAACCTGAAGCTACAGGCATTTGTGAGCCATCTTAATGCAGGTCTTCTGAAAGAGCAGGGCACACTTCTAAACAATGAGCCATCTCTCCAGCCCCCACCTTGGTTTCTTCAGTTTTGTTTGTTTGTTTTTGGCTTTTTGTTTGTTTGTTTGTTTGTTTGAGATAGGGTCTCAGTACGTATCCTTGGCTGGTATGGAGCTCACTATGTAGACCAGGCTAGCCATAAATTTATAGAGATCTGCCTGCCTCTGTCTCCTTAGTGCTGGGATTAAAGGGGCGCACCACCACTTGTTGTGGGGTTTTTTGTTTTTGTTTTTGTTTTTTTTTTTCTTTGAGATAGGAAATCTCTCTCACTGGGACCTGGGGCTTTTAATTAGGTCAAACTGGCTGGCCAACAAGCTAGAGGATCCACTTGTCTTCACCTCCCCCAAACTCAGATTACATATGTGTATCACCACATCCAGCTCCTCATATGGGGGCTAGGGATCAAACTCTGGTCTTTGTGTTTGTATGGCAAGCATTTTTACCAACTGAGTTATCTTCCCAGCACCCACCAGTTCCAGGGTGCCTAATGCCCTCTCTTCTGACCTCTGTAAGCACCAAGCATGCACATGGTGCACATACATACATACAGACAAAACACTCATACACATAAAATAAAATATTTTAAAAAGAAAAACTTGTTTGGTGTGGTGGCACATGTTTTTAATCCCAACACTTGGAAGGCAGAGGCAGGATGGTCTCTGTGAATTCCAGGACAGTCAGAGCTACATAATAGAGAGCGAGGAAAAAAAAAGAAAGAAAAGAAAAAGAAAATCAAGATGAGTTGTAATCACCAGCAATAGGAACTGAATGAATTCATTCGGCTGAATGAATGAATGGGGCCACCTTAGGAAGGGGGCTAAACAAGTAAAGTGGGAGCTACCGAACATCCAAGAAGGTGTCAGAGATTGGGGTTCTTCCAGTTCCTCTTCTGGTCATATGCTGCCCTAGAAACACATTCAAAATGAGTAGAATGGGTCTTCAAATAAACAAGTCTCAGGGTGACTTCTGTTATTTTTTTTTATTTAATTATTAAGAAAAATATGTTACAAAACAATATCATCCATCATATATTTCTTAATTTCCATTTTTTAAAAAATTAAAGCAATAAAAAAGTCATTTTATAAAATAATACAAAAGAGCATGATCAGTTGGGGGTAGGAGGGACTGTCTGAGCTGATGGGCTCAGGAATCCAGTGCTTGCTTTGCCCTGGCTCCCTCCCCAAAGTGGGCTGGGGGCTAGGGAAATAGACGTGGGGTGGGAAGGGTCCCCAAGTTGTGGCAGGGCTCAGAGAAGACCGCTCCTCTGGCCAGGCCTCCTGAGGGCAGAGGGAGAATACAGGCAGTCAGGCATCCACACCCAGGTGGGTCCTGGGCGTGGCAGAGGGCCTGGAAGTAGAGGTGAGTTACCCTGGGACAGCCCCCGTACTCCTCCTCCTCCAGACAGTCTAGTTTCCACTGCTCAACATCCCTAGCAGCTTGCTGGGCTCCATCCCCTGCTGCTGGGCCACCGTCTGCACATCGAAGCCCATGTGCATAAGGAACTGGGCCACGTTCATCTCTTGCCCTGTAAACTGGTCCCTGATGGTAGGGCATGAGGGATTGCAGTGGGGCCAGGGGCAACTGTCCACCAGGTGGAAAGGGCAGCCCTTCACGGGGGTTTTGCTGGCCTTATGGCTGTCATGGAAGCTTCGGTCCCAGCAGTGCAGTGCCCGGGGCAATGAGGTCCCCTTCACCTGGACATCCGTCCAATAGCTGTAGAAAGAACCAAGGTGGGGTTGTCGAGGCCATCACTGTCATTGTCTGGGGATGCATTTCAATCCAGCCACACAGCTAGTGTAGTGGTTTGGAAGGCCCAGAAGGGGCTCATGGGAAGACACCTACTGGTTTGGGAGGGGCCTATGGGTGTATGGAATTAGTGCAAGCCACCTAGAACCCGGGGGTGGGGAGGGACGGGGGGGGGGGGGGGGGGGAGGGGGAGACACTGACCTCCGAATGATGATCTCATGTGAGAGGCAGGCGGGGGCGAAGCTGGCCCTGGTAGGGAGATAATCAGCCTGAGTCCCACAGCCTATCCTTTGCCAGATGATCAACTCTTCCTTTTGCTGTGTCTGGCCAGCCACTTATCTGTCTAGGCCTTGGCTTCAGTACCCACATGCTCCACACTGACCCTTGCCCTCTGGGCCTCCAAAACCTGCTTCATGTACACCTTACACAGCCAGAGTCTGCTAGGCAGTGGCAGGAGGCTATCTTGAACACATGAATCTTTGGCCTCTTTTTTTTTTTTTTTTGAGGCTGGGTCTCATGCAGTCCAGGCTAGCCTCAAACTGGCTATGTGGTCAAGGATGACCTTGATTTCTTATCTTCTTCCTTCTATCTCTCAAGTGTTGGAGTTACACCATGTCTGGTGACTGTGGTGCTGGGGTTGAACCCAGGGCTTTGTACATGCTGAACAAGCACTGTGCCACGATGATCTGTGAGCCCTCTATTTTATTTATTTATTTATTTAGTCAAGGTCTCACTATGTGACTAGGCTGGACTTGAACTCATAGAAATCCACCTGCCTCTGCCTCCTAAGTGACACCACACCCGTCCTCAAGACCTATATATTTTTTTTTTTTTTTTGTTTTTCGAGACAGGGTTTCTCTGTGTAGCTTTGTGCCTCTCCTGGAACTCACTTGGTAGCCCAGGCTGGCCTCGAACTCACAGAGATCCGCCTGGCTCTGCCTCCCGAGTGCTGGGATTAAAGGCGTGCGCCACCACCGCCCGGCAAGACCTATATTTTTAAGGCAAATAGCTTGGAGGGACTGCATGAAACACCCAGCCCAAATCCATTGCACACACTCACTGTACATCCTTGAGTGTGCCACGCAGTTCTCGGCCCAGATTCTGGATGTATAGCCACTGGCCCTCCTGAACCGGCTGCCCAGTGAGATGCACATTATCCACGGTCAGCTGGGCCTCATCAAAAAGCCACTGTACCACGAACACTGGACCTGGGAGGAGGATATGACTCAGCTTGGCCTGCCTGCCTCTGCTGTGGTCCTGCTGTGGCCCTGCTCCTAGCAGGCTCACAGACCAGCTGTGCTCCACACAGCCCAAGTTCCTGTGTCTTTCTTTGTTATGGAGAAGAACCCCAAGCACTGAGCATGCTGGGTAAGGATGCTACACCAAACCGCAGTTCTGTTTCTTCGTTAAAGCCCACTCTCCCTCAAAGGACTCTTGAAAACCCACTATTACTGTGGCCTGGCTCTCAGGGTCTCTGACTTAGATTTGGTGATGCTGTCCCCCTGGCATGGGATCTCACTATTCCTTGGAAAGCAGGGCTCGGGGAACTGTTTGGTGGTCTCAAAATACAGAAAGAAAGCATACAAATTTGGCTCTGATGCCATTGCAAACAGTGCTAGCTTGCTTGGGACCAACAGTTTTGGTGATAAAATCGTGGCAGTCCCAGGTAAGCAGGAATGACTGTTTACCCCAGTATAGGCATGACCACTTTTGTGGAACAGCATAAGGTCTGTCTGTGGTCTAACCTCTTTAATTTCAGGACTGGTGCACAACTCAGGATATCCCACCACTTCCCAAATGCCTCAATGAGCTGGCCACTCACAGCGCAGAGTCGGGTATACTTTGTAGCCGAAGAAGCAATTCCATTCCTCGCCTTCCTTGAACTGGCGCTGACAGCGCTCTGGTACCATCCCATTCCAGTACCTGCAGCCACAATCACAAGTTAGGCTGTGATATTAAGACACTACCTCACCCCGGGTCCTTTGCACTCTAGACAGGGTTATGGCATGGGAGCTGTCTCCCCAACCCACAGGTACCTGATGCCGCGGCGGATGGCCTCTGTGGGTGCACAGTTGATAGTATCAATGCAGTCTGATCGGCGATACTGTTTGTTGTCCAGGAACCAGCCTGAGTCAGCCAGGCCCCGCACCTGGATGGACGGGTAGCCCAACTCCTCCAGCAGCTCAGCCACGCGGTCTACATTCAACAGCACCCCGGTGCCCCCAGCGCTGAGGGAAGGCCAGACATGAGACCAAGTGGCTGGAGAGAGGTGCTTACTGTCCACCCAAAGCCAGCTTAGCCCCAGCCCTAGTCCTGAGGAAGGACTGCCTCTGAACAATGCATTCTGACTGTAGGCATGCTGCTTGTCCATGGGCAAGACACAGGGGCCTCTCTCCCTCAAGATCTGGAGAGGACTGGTAAGTTCTAAGCACTGGCCCACAGCTAAGATTGGCAGGACAGAGCTGACCCTCCTTCCCCTCTTTTTTCCTGTATCAGTTTCCTTATCTGAAGAAAAAGATAAACTCCAGTGTATCAGGCCCCATCATCCAGTCCAGGCATGCATTCTCTGTTCCCATTGGAATACAGTCACTGACCAGTCATCCCAGTCTACCCTGACACTGGGTCCTCAAGAAGAGACATCAGAACACAACTGACCACTAACCTACTATATAGGTGGCTGCAGCCCAACACCCTTGGGGTCCAGAAGCATTCTCTAAACAGTTTCCAGCTCAAACACTCTGAAGCCAGACCTCTAAGGTGCTCCGAATGAGGCTGATCTCCCCGCTCCTGCCTGCGAAGGCTGGAGCCAGCAAGGCTCTGTGAGGATAGATTCCAGGTCTGCAGGCAATTCCCTTCCAGTTTCTCCACACATACTCCACACTACCCATGCTCCAGAGCTGCCACAACAGCCCCTTGTCGCCTCCATACAGAGACCTCTTCCCTTGGGTGCATTCTGCTTACCTGCTCCCAGCCAACAGCAGCACCTTAGCCCCACTCAGCCCTTTGCCCAGGAGCTCCCGCACCACCTCCTGGATGATGAGGGAACCCATGAAGGCATACTCATCTGTAAGGAAAAGGGGGAGCTTTAGGTGAAGTTGGACACAGGACAAGGTCTCCTACTCCGGGAGGCAAGAAGAGGGGTCTAGGCTCTTTCCAGGGATGGGGCAGACTGAGGAGGGAGGACCAAGGGCTTGAGGTCCTGCTAGGGGGTCCCTCAGGGGCCAGGTGAGCCACAGACAAGCAAGAACCTAAGGCATGCTACAAAGAGGTTGAGAAAGTCTTGTGTTTCCCCGGAAGTTTTACCACCCTGCCCTGTCTCAAGGGGCTGGGAAGAAAGGGACTCACTCTTCTCAGACTTGGGTGAAGCCCCACTCCAAACGTCACTGGAGCAGTAGGGGATGAAGCTGTAACAGGGATCAGGTGAGCCCGCAGGATGGCCCTCTGTTGCCCAAAGCTACTGTGAAAGACCCCCAAGAAAAATCCTGCCCAGGACAAGACCCTCCAGAAGGACCCCCTCCCCAGGAAGGTCCTCCTTAGAACGGAATCCCCAAAGAAAGGGACTCCCTAGAAGAACCATCATCCCAGGAAGGAACACTAGAAAGGACCCTTAGGAGAGAACTCCCCAAGAAGGACCCTCCAAAAAGGACCATCACCCCCAGGAAGAACGCAGACTTCCATCAAAAACTACCCCAAATATGGCCCCTTGCAAAGGCCAGCCCCCAAGAATGAACCCCCATGCTCTAAGAAGGATCCTACAGGACAGGACTCCATGGGAAGGACCACGCCAGGAAAGACTCCCAGGAAGGAACCCCCGCCAAGGGAAATTCATGCTCTCTTACACCATATTGGCATTCCACCAGTGAGGGTTCTCCTCTGGCTGGGAGGATAGAATCCCAGTACCTGGGGAAACAGAGGAAGGGGAAAGGCAGGGATGGGGACTTCCTTCCTGATGACCTCAACCAGGGTGGGCCCTGGTCTGAGCTGAGGTGCTAGGATGGATAGGGGGAACGGTGAGGAGATGGACGGACTCAGTTACCCAAGAAGTCACCATACCAAAAAGCGAGCGTGAGCTCACCATAACTTTAGAAACTCGGGCCTGGGATGGGGGTCCTTCCTACAGTCTGACCGTTCCGCCACTTCCCCCAGACTGGCCCGCCCATCGTGTGCTGCTGACCTGTGCGCGTGTGTGGCCAATCTTTGGAGCTCATGAGACGCCGCATGGTGCTGTATCTGGAGTCGCAGTTCTCTCGGTTGAAGCAATACCAGCCGCCTGCAGGCACAGGCACTAGGCTCGGTTCCGCATCCTGAGGACCCCTCCTGCACCACACCGCAAGCCCTAGAACCTACCTTCCAGAAAGAGTAACCACCGCCGACTGCCCTTGGACTCCTTCAAGTAGTAGCTGCAGGAAAGGCACACAGAGTAGGCAGTCAGTTGGGGATACCTGAGTCCCCGCCCTTGGCTACCCTCCACCCCAAACCCCGAATCCTCAGCCTTTTCCAATTCCGGTACCGAAAGGGTCATTCCACCTGTTGCCTGGAGCTCACCGCAGCCGCACGGGGGCGCCCGCGGCCAATCGCAAGCTGAACTCAGGCTAGTGGAACCCAGCTGATTCCCCGGAGGTGGCGATAGTGAGGAAGGGGGGGAAGGAGGGCCGTGAGGTCCGTGGAAAATTCCCACAGCCCGCCTCGCACGGGACCCGTGTTAACCCTGGCGCGGATGACAGTCGAGGAGAGGCGCTCCCGGGAACGCCGTGGCATTGAATAATGAAAAATGCCAGGGCTAGAGGCCTGTAAACCGGTAGGGGTAGGGGAGCGCGGCAAGATGCGGGGAGCCACTGTGGCGGTGTCACAGCCTTCCTATCAAGGCCCAGACTAACATCGATCAGCTGAGCCCGTGGGCACCCACAGTCCCTTCCGACCTCTCAACTCCACCTGTGTCCTCTATCTACTCCAAAGTTGAGTGCGTGTGTGAATGCTGCACCTGGGGCCTTCGGTCCCTCTTGGGCCCCCTCCTTGCTCCCGTGCTCAGATTCCTGACTGTCCCGAACCAATCTGGTATGCACAAGGGGAACCCTGAGACAGGAACCTCCTGTCCCTCAGTGTTGCCTCTTTCTACTGGAGTCAGGGTCACACTGGGACTGCAGTCTCTTTCTGTCCGAGGACCTGAGCACAAAGGCGGGTGCACGGTGGCCATGGGGTCAGCACATGAGCTGGCCTCGGACCAGGGCTTCAAGAGCTGCCCCCTCCCCCACTTTGGGAGGCACCGAGCCAGGCCCTCCCCAGGGCCAGCAGCGCTGGACTCCCTGCTGGAACCCTTTCCTCTGGGGACCAGATCTGCCATTGAAAATGGAGGGTCCAGCGCAGTCTCCGGTTTGTGCGCGCGCAGGGAGGCAGAGGATGCGGGCACCACGAGCGATGGGACGGCGGCGAGCTAGGCGCGGAGCACCGGCGGGGCCAGCCAGGCAGGGCCAACGGCCTCCCGGGGTCCTGCCCAGCGCCGGCCTTACCCGGCGGGGCTGCCGTCATTGCAGGTCACCGACGTGTTCAGTAGGAGGTGAAGGCGCAGGTCCTCGTTGAGCTGCTGTGCAGAGCAGGGGTACAGGGACTGTGCCAGGCTCTTGACTTGCGCCATAAAGCTGTCCATGTTGCCCTCCACGGCCGTGAAGTCCAGCGGGAAGCTCTCCACCGGCTGCCCGGCGCCGGGCGCCACCTCAGCCCGCTGCGGGGGCGGCGGCGGGGGCGGCGGCTGGGGAGGTTGCTGGCCACGGCGCCGCCAGGTCTTTCTGCCCTCGCTGCCCCCAACCCAGTGCAGCAGGCCCAGCAGGAGCAGCACGCGCACCTCTCCGCCCATGGCAATGTCACTCCGTCCTGTGGCCACCTGCGGAGAGCGGGCGGCTGTGAGGCGTCGGTGGCTTGGGGCGCCGGGCCAGGGGGCGCGCGGGCCACTGCTGCTCCTCGGCCCCGGCTCCCGCGCGTTGTTCCTGTCCTGAGCGGCAGGGCAGGCTCTCGGCGTCGAAGCTCTGGAGTCAGGCGCCACCGGTCTCCGCAGCTCGGGCTACGCGCGTAGCCGGCCGAGGGCAACGCAGAGTCTGGGTGCGCTGGCTCGGGCCCGCGCCAATGAGCAGCGGGGGACGAGCTGGGCGTAGTTTGCGGGGGCCGCGGCGGCCCGGGTGCCCGCGCGTTAGAAGTGCCGCCGCCGCCCGGGCGCGGCAGGGGGGAGGGGGCTGCGCTCACTCTTTTCTTGGCGGAGGCTTAGCCTTTTCTTCCCAAACCACAAGCCTGACGGAGGGGCCTGGACTAACCCGTTGCGGCCGCCGGAGGCGCTCCCGGCCCGGCTCCGTGGGGGGCAGCGCGGCCGGGCTGGCCCCGGGCAGTTCCATTCTCCACGGCCAGCCGGCGCCGCTACCCCCGCCCCTCGGAGCGGCCCGGGAGCCGGGAGGAAGAGGCCTTTCCGCATCGGGGGCGCCCTGCCCGCTGCGCAGCTGCCGGGCCCGACGGGCCAAGGCGCAGGGTGCGAGCGTTCACCTGGAGCCGCCGGGGCCTTCCCTCCCGCACCCAAGCCCAGTGCATTCGTGGGAGACTCGCACTCGGGCTCCCTCCGCACACCTCGCACTGCCCGGAGTCCTGCGCTCACCGTAGGTCCTCGTAGTTGCTCGAGCTGCGCTATCCCGCTGGTGCGCCCAACTGCGCTGCGCTCCCTCTCTGGCGCTGGCGTAGAGCCGCCCGAGACTTTTATCCAGCCGGGCCCCCGGGATCAAAGCGGCGGCGGACACAGGGCTCCGCGCCGAGGGGCCGGTAGTAGCGGCTCAAGGGGGCCTCTGCGAGGAGCGGACAGGTGGGGCCCAAGGCCGGGCTTTCGGGGTCGACCTGCTGGAAAGATCGGGCATGTGAACTCAGCCAGCAGGAGAGTCTCCCTCTCCGGTGCGGGTGCAGGAGCACGCAGATGTTAGGAGTCATGTAGATCAGAGGCGGTGCTGCGACTTAACAGGCTTGGTAGGCCTTGGTAAAGTCCCTTGCTGCTGCACCCCATGAAGAAGACCCCTAAGAACCGCGACTGGAGGAGAAGAGGGCTGAGGATCGGAGAAGTTGCCAGCTTGGAGACCTCCTCGCATCTGCCAAGTCATCTCACCTAATGTGCCCACCTACTCTACACATCCTAAGGCAGAGGTGACCAGCGGGAATGAAATCCTGTCAGAAATCAAAACTGAGAGCCAGCTGTGGTGTGCACCGAAGGCAAGGAGGTTGCTGCAAGCTTTCGGCCAGCCATGGCGACACAATGAACCTCTAAAGTTAAACAAACGAATAAGTAATCAAAGTTGGGGGAGCAGGGCGCATGATGATAGCAGTAGTGGTCGAACTAGATGCACAAAACACACTCACCCTAGGTGCACCACAACCAGCCACTGGTTTTTCTTTACCTCTGCCTGCTGTCTGGTAGGTAGCCTTTTTCTAGAGACCTGCCTTTCAGGACACCGGTCCAAACCTTAGGCAGGGCATCTGCCGCCCACATTCTAATTCATGACAGGAGGAGCCTGCTTCATCTTTTGGGTACCTGCTGCACCTCCTAGGGAGGAGTCAGGAAGGATGCCACTGGGGCTGCAGGGCCATCCTGCTGCTGTTCTCCTGGCTGAGTGATGAGCTGCAGAAAGCAAGTTCCCAATATACCTTCATGTACAGCAGGCCAGTTATCCCAAGATACAGTGGGAGGCCAAAGAGAAGGAGGCTGCCTGAAGGTCATGTATGCTGGGTCCACTCACAGGCACCTGGTGTAGATGTGTGTTCTGTTTCCAGATGGGAACTGAGTTCAGAGAGACTGAGAGGCTCACCAAGCTCTGCTCATTCAGAAATTCACATTTGGGGTGCAGAGATGGCCAGTGCATAAGAGCACTTGCTGCTCTTGCAAGAACCCAAGTTCAATTTCCAAAACCTACATGGTGGCTCACAACTGTCTGTAACTCTATTTCCAGGGAATACAAAGCCCTCCTCTGGTCTCCTTGGGCACCAGGCACACACATGGTACACAGACACATATGCAGGCAAAGCACTCATACACGTACAGATAATAACAAAGTAAGCTTTTTTTTAAGAGGGCCAGGTGGTGGTGGCACGCACCATTAATCCCAACACTCGGGAGTGGATCTCTGTGAGTTCAAGGCCAGCCTGATCTACAGAACTAGTTCCAGGACAGTCAAGACTACACAAAGAAACTCTGCCAAAAACAAAACAAAACAAAGAAGAAATCCACATTTGCTGTCTCCCTGTTGTTGGATCACCTAGTCTGGCTTGAGCCTGGCCACAGACAGCAGTTCCATCGTGCTGAGATGCTTGTCTCAGCCTCATCCTGAGTGGCATGGCTGACAGGGCAGAAGTACGCATTGAGCAAGACCTGCACTAGAAGACGTCTACTCTAGGAGCCCGTTATGCCACGTCTCGGCAGAGAAACGCTAACTTCCAGCTGAGTGCCACGGCTGCACCGGGCATGGCTGCACACAGGGCATGGCTGCACCGGGCATGGCCGCGCACCGGGCATGGCCGCACACAGGGCATGGCCGCACACAGGGCATGGCTGCACACAGGGCATGGCTGCACACTGTCCTGGCCCAGAGCCATTTCCTGGTGGGAAGATTTTGGGCAAGACCCGTGACCTCTCTCTGTGACTCCGTTTCCTATTCTTTAAAGCGAAGCAGTGACCGTACCTCCGTTGGAGGGTTGTTGTGGGATTACAGGAGCCCATGCATGAAAGTGCTCAGCAGGGTGGTGGTTATGATTGCCAAAGAAATTCCAGAACAAGCCAGCGACATGCATATTCTATTCTCTGGCCTTTGCTGTAGCGTGATTTAGCCTGCACATCGAACCAAAGTGAGTTTGTGTTTGGTTTATTTAACACTAGTAGCAGAAAAGTTCCAACCAAAACTCGCCTTGTTTACACCTCTGCCCTCACTCTCAGTCCTTCCTCTTTCTCCTTCTAAAGTGTCCGCTGTGGCCCCTGTTTACACCTCTGTCCTTTAGCTTACCTAGGCTGATTTTGTCTTCCCCCGAGGCCGGCTGTGTGTGTCCTCTGCACCAGAGTTTTCAGAACCGTAAGTGTGAGGAAGTCTCCCCAGAATTCGGGCCCTTTCAGTCCACCTATGCCAAAACAGGACACCAATACCATTATCACCCTCACAATTGTTTGGAAGACTCATCAGCCTCGGATCAGACACGGCTTCATGCTAACTTGAGTGGATTTGAGCAATAACATGCAAAATAACAAGTGTTGGTGAGGACAAGAAGAAATCGGAGCTCTGTGCACTGCTGAGGGTGGTATAGAATGGTACAGCTGCTACAGCAGACAATCGAGTGACTCCTCCATAAGTCAAACATAGATTCACCATCTGAGCCAGCAATTCCACCCCTAGGTATAGTCTCCAAAGAATTAGAAACAGGTGTTCAAACAAAAGCTAGTACACACGTGTTCAGAGCAGCGCAATTCTCAATGGCTGAAAGGTGGAAGCCGCTCAAAAGGCCACCGGTGTGGTTTATCTCTATAATGGGATGTATTTCAGCTATAAAAAGAAAATTCTGACCTATGCTACAGTCTTAAAAATGCTACGCTGAGTGAAATAACCCAGACACAAAGGACACATACTGTATGGTTCCATCGACATGAAATACCCAGGATGGGTGAATCCACAAGGGCAAAAGCTCCACTGGAAGCTACCAGGAGACTGGGAAGATGAGGGAATTAAGGAGCGACTGTTCGCCGGCATGTGGTGTATCTTTGGGGTGATAAAAATGTTCTGAAACTGTGGTGATGGCTGAACACATTGTAGGTCTACCAAATGTTGTGGAGTTGTGATACTTCAAAGGATTAGGTCCACATTGCTTGAATTTTACCTTTAAAAAAAATCCCAAGTGCTGGGCGGTGGTGGCGCACGCCTTTAATCCCAGCACTCGGGAGGCAGAGCCAGGTGGATCTCTGTGAGTTCGAGGCCAGCCTGGGCTACCAAGTGAGTTCCAGGAAAAGGCGCAAAGCTACACAGAGAAACCCTGTCTCGAAAAACCAAAAAAAAAAAAAAAAAAAAAAAAAAAAAAAAAAAAAAATCCCAAGTTTGGAATGGTGGTATATACCGTTACTTGGGCGGTAGATGAGAGAGGATCAGGAGTTCAAGACCAGCCCCTGTTACATAGAGAGTTGATATCAGCCTAAGCTGTAGGAAACCTGTCTCAAAACAAACACAATCTACCACTTTTGATGATAGCAGCTAGACACAAGATAAGCTGGACCAGGCCTGAAGCCAGAGAGCAGTTTGGATAGCACAGGCTGGTTTTCTCCACAATTCCCTTCATAGCTGGGAATGGAACAGGGTGATGGGGGTGGGAGCTTCTTTCTGTATCTGAAGCCTGGCTCTACCGTTGCTGGCCTATGGGTCTCTGAGCCCCAGTTCCTTATCTATAAAGTACTTGCTGCACTGTGAGAACCAAGCCAGGCAAGATGCTGGGGATTCTGACTGTCAGTTTCAGGAAACGTGTTAAAGAACCGCTATCGTGGTGGGTGTTGGTGGTACCTCAGGGGCCAGAGTGGTTTGAGATCCTAGGTATAGGAGGCTTGTGAACTGGGAGAGTGAGTCAGACTTGGGAACAATGTTACAAGTCACCTTGCTGTGGTGGGCCCTCAGAGTTAGCCCTGTGGATGTTCAACACATCAGATACGAGGCAAGGACTGTGCCCCTCCCCAGCCCTGGCTGCTCCACTGTCCTATTGGGATGGCTACTGTGTGGCTCCTCCTGTTGTCCTTGCCTGGCTCCCATTAGAGCTGGGGGTTGGGGTATGTCTGCCTAGCTCAGATCGAGAGTATGCCCAGTAGCAAGGGGACCCGGAAAAATCACAGTTCCTGGAGCAGGGGCCTATGCATTTTCAGAGCAATAACTCAAGAACAGGACTGGAGTTGGTGGTTTGGTTCTGAGGTTCTGGAGAGAAGGATGGAGTGGGACAGGGATGCACAGATGGACATAAAGTTAACTTGGGAGTTGCAGGCCTTACCTAGGAAAGAAGGAGCACAGTTTCTGGGGAGAAGGAGTCAAGATGGAACTTGTCAGGAAAGAAGAGCTAGCTAGGGTCTGGGTGGAGCTGGTCTCCAGCACTGGGAAGGAGGAGGGTACAGCAGAAGTCAGACAGACGCACATGGGTCCCATCTGAGACCCTCTGTGATATCCAACAGATGAATGACCTGGTTGGAGGGCTGGGCCAGCAGGCTTAGCATGTCCAGCAACTCTGGACCCAATTCCCTTGCCCAGCCTGCACTCTTACCCAGCTCCATGGTCCAGCTGCTGCCTCCCGCTGTCTGGGGCCCAGCTGTTATATGCTGGCCTCAGCCACCACGCCGTACATGGCCATCTGGGTAGCTCTGCACTCCAGCTGCTGGCCTTGGAGGCCTAAGTGAGCAAGAAAACGGGGCAGGCTAGCCCCTTTTCCTGCAGCCTGCTCCGAGGGGAAGCTCTGACGGGTTAGCTAAGACCCCACCTCTAGCTCTCAGTCTGGGCCGGGACTCAAAACCACAGGCTCCTGCAACTAAACCTCTTTTAGTTTCCCCCAAAGCCTCCCCTCTGGACCCCTGTACATTAGCGTACTCTTCCTGCCCCGAGGAAGGCAATTCACCTGCGGCAGTGGGGGTGGGGGTTGGGGTGGGGGTGGGGGGGTGGGGGTGGCTGAGAGTCAACGGCCATCTCAGCTTGAACTTGAGAGTGTGGAAGGGAACAGGGACATTGGGTCAGTCCCAGCCTCCTCAAGGATGGTAAGCTCTTCTGCTTGACACCGGGAACTTTTCTCTGAGACTTTCAGCTCTGGCTCTTAGAAAACAGGTGGCCACCTGTAGGCAGCATGTGAGTAGTCTTGAAGTCACTTGGTAGAAAGAGCTGTATCCCTGATCCTAGGAATCAGTTCCTTCACTGGGAGCATGAGAGTTCTTAGAGGCAAAAACTGAGGCCCTGTTGCCCCTCAATGGTGAACCTGTATAGGGATGCCCCAGTGTGAGCAGCTCAGACCACTGAGGTACCTTGGACCCTACTGATGTTTTTGGCAGTACCTGTTTCAACCAGGACCTCTGCAGCTAAGGGCTGCCCTGCCCCACTTCTCTGCTTGGCACAGTCCAGTGGGAGGACCCTGTTGGATGCTGGCTTGCAGTGACATGGCTAACTGGAGAGGGTCATTAGGGTGTGGCCACATTTCCAAGCTGGGGAGGAAGGGTGTAGATCTGGGAGGGACTCCCTGTTTATCTGCGGAACTTCTTGGGGTGCTTCTGGAGCACCCTGAGATGCCTAGTATAAGTCCTTGATCCTGACGCTAAGGGCAGAGCTGCTATCGGATGTCATAAGAGGTGCAAGCTGGTACCAAAGCCTTAACTGTCCAGTTGCTGGCCCCCAGGTGCCTGAAGCAGTAGGCTCTACAGGCCAAAGAGGCTGGTTGCCATGTGACCTCCAGCTCCCTCCTTCCAACCCTGTGATCCTCCGGCAGGCTTGCACGTGGCCTCTGAGGAGGCAGAAACAAACCCTCAGATCTTGCCACTGGGAACCTTTCAGCGCTGGAGGCTGCGGATGCTTCTCTTAAAGGGCTATACCACTTTTAATTCAAAGCAGATCCTTAGAACAGCTGTCTAGCTGCTGGCAGGGGGAAGGAGGAGGGCCGTGGCCTGGCAATAGAAGGAAGGTATCCTCAAAAAGGATGCTGAATTCGTTCTCAGAAGAAGTTAAAGCACAGAGGCAGAGGTAGATAGGGGCTGAGGAGCTGAATCTGCTCCCCTCAGCCACTTTCTTCTTTCAGGAAAGGACCCTAGAGCAGCTGGGAGGAGGCCTCTCCTTCTCTCAGAAGAGACAACTGAGTCTGAACAGGTCCCCAGGCAGTGCATTGATTATTCTGGCAGCCTGACCCATGGCAACTTAAAATATTAGGCATATTTAATGATCTCTTTTGCATATCAAACAGGACCTGAGATTATTACTTGACCAGGTGTCTGCCCTGCCTGTAAGCCACTCCCTGAAACCAGACACTGGCATCTCTGAGCACCAGATGGTTCAGATGGGCATTCTTTCACCTGACCCTGCGTTGGGTAAAGGGACCTAGACAGGAGTGCTTCTCAGCTAGGTGTCAAATCTTGAGTTGGTGTGTTGGCTCAGTCGTTCCACTGATTGAGGGACCCTGAGTCACTACTGTCCGCCCTGCTGCGGAGAAAAGAACATGGGAGGCTAAAGAGCCAGTAGGAAGCTGCTGGTGGGTCCTCCAAGCATTCCGACATACATATTTGCTTGTTTTGGCAAAGAGAAACAAAGGCTACAGAATAAAATTGGCTTTTTGTGAGGTGATCATGAGTGGGAAAAAAAATGGGTCAGCGTAAGTCTTGTTTTATACTTAAATCTCTGCATCAAAAAAAATCTTTTTCTTTTTGGTTTTTCTTTCTTTTTTTTTTTGAGACAGGGTTTCTCTGTGTAGCTTTGCGCCTTTCCTGGAACTCACTCTGTAGACCAGGCTGAGAGATCTGCCTACCTCTGCCTCTCAAGTGCTGGGATTAAAGACTTACGCCACCACCACCTGGCTCTTTTTGGTTTTTCTAGGCAGGAATTCTCTGTGTAGCTTTGGAGCCTGTCCTGGGACTCACAGAGATCAGCCTGCCTCTGCCTTCCAAGTGCTGGGATTAAAAGTGTGTGCCACCACCGCCCAGAAAAAAAAAAATCTTTTTGAGATAAGGTCTCACTATATAGCCCTGGCAGGCCTGAAACTCTATGTGTCTACCTCTGCCTCTGGAGTGCTGGCATTAAAGGTGTGTACCACCATGGCCCATCTTTGTTTTTGATTGGGCAGGGTCTTCCTATATAGATCTGGCTGTCTAGAACTTGCTACGTAGCCCAGGCTGTCCTCAAATTTAATACTCCTGGTTTCACCTTTCATGTGCTGGGATTATAGACAGGTATGTGAGGGAGCCACAGTGTATATGCGAAGGTAGAAGATAATTTTGGGGTTTGGTTTTCTCCTTCCACAGTGGGTTTTGGAGATTGAATTCAGGGTGTTGGGCTTGTATGTATCATTGTACCAGTTCAGCTTGCCTGCCTTCCTTCCTTCCTTCTTTCCTTTCTTTGTTTTTTTTTTTTTTTTTTTTTTTTTTTTTAGAAGGGTTTCTCTGTGTAGTCCTGGATGCTCTGGAACTTACTCTGTAGACCAGGCCGGCCTTGAACTCATAGAGATCTGCCTGCCTCTGAGACTGTGCCTGGCTGTGCTTTCCTTACTGTTGTTAGTGGTGGGATTGTTACATCTCTGACATTATTATTTTTTTAAATTTTATTTATTTATATTTTTGGATTTCTAAGGCTCAAACTCCAGATCTTGCAAATGCTAGGCAAGTACTTCACCACTGAGCTGCACCTCTATCTCTGCAGCATATCTTAAAACAGAGAAGATGAAGCTGGGCGGTGGTGGCACGCACCTTTAATCCCAGCACTCGGGAGACAGAGGCAGGCGGATCTCTGTGAGCTCAAGGCCAGCCTGGTCTACAAAGTGAGATCCAGGACAGGCACCAAAACTACACAGAGAAACACTGTCTTGAAAAAACTAAAAACAAACAAACAAAAACAAACAAACAAAACAGAGAAGATGAAAAAAAGTACTATACCTGAACACAAGCATTCCTACTGCAGGGGAGAACTTATGTTGAAAGACACAGAATTTTTTTTTTTTTTGAGATGGAGTCTCTCAATATAGCCTGGAACCCACCACACAGACCAGGTTGTGAGACCTTGAACTCACAGAGGCCCTCCTGCCTCTGCCTCCCAAGCGTACCACCAAGCCCAGTCCTACTTCATGTTTTGTCTGTTAGAAAGTGTCCTTGTCCCTAGGAAACAGGCATTCAAGAAGTATTCACAGTGCCAAAGAGGCACAATCCAATTTACTCTTTTCTACTTTTGTTTATGTGTCTGTGTGTTTGTATGTGTCTGTGTGAGTATATGCCATGTGCATGCAGCTGCCTTTAGAGACCAGAGGAGGGTGTTGAAGCACTTGGAACTTGAGTTACAGGAGTT